TGGCCGGCACCATGGCTCAATAGGCTAATCCTCCGCCTGCGGCGCCAGCACACCAGGTTCTAGTCCTGGTCGGGGTGCCGGATTCTGTCCTGGTTGCCCCTCTTCCAGGCCAGCTCTCTGCTGTGGCCCGGGAGTGCAGTGGAGGATGGCCCAAGTGCTTGGGCCCTGCAACCGCATGGGAGACCAGGAGAAGCACCTGGCTCCTGCCTTCGGATCAGCGCGATGCGCCAGCCACGGTGGCCATTGGAGGGTGAACCAACGGCCAAGGAAGACCTTTCTCTCTGTCTCTCTCACTGTCCACTCTGCCTGTCAAAAAAAAGAAAAGAAAAAAAAAGAAAAGACAAGACAAAAACCAATTGTAAAACTAATCATGAAGCTGTATGTCAAAATGATTCCAAGTTTTATTGTCCACAATCAAGAAACTATGCATAGACATGCACATACACACACAACTGCCATACTCACACATACAGAAATAAAAGTAAAGCACTAGAAACTATAGGATTGTATTTTGAAGCAAAAGTGCCTCTAGCTATCTAGAAGAAGGCAAACAAGGGACCAGCAATGTGGCACAGCAGTTAAAGTTCCCACCTGCAACAGCAGCATTCCATATGGGTACTGGTTCAAGTCCCATCTGCTCCACTTTTTTTTTTTTTAAGATTTACTTATTTATTTATTTAAAAGTCAGAGTTACACAGAGAGAGAAGGAGAGGCAGAGAGAGAGAAGGAGAGGCAGAGAGAGGTCTTCCATCCACTAGTTCACTCCCTTATTGGCTGCAACGGCCAGAGGTACACTGAGCCAAACCCAGGAGCCAGGAGCTTCCTCCAGGTCTGCCCATGTGGGTGCAGAGGCCCAAGGACTTGGGCCATCTTCTACTGTTTTCCAGGCCATAGTAGAGAGCTGGGTTGGAAGTGGAGCAGCCAGGACTCGAACCAGTGCCCACACAGGACGCCAGCACTCCAGGTGGTGGCCTTACCCACTATGCCACAGCACCGGACCCCTGCTCCTCTTCTGATTCAGTTCCCTGTTAATGTGCAGCAGTGGATGGCCCATGTGCTTGGGTCCCTCGAATCCATGTGGGACAACTGGATGGATTCCAAGTTCTTGCTTTTAGCCAGGCACAGCCACAGCTGTTAAGGCCATTTGGGGAGTTAACCAATGGCTAGAAGAAACTGTTCTGTCTCTGTACTCTTTCAATTAATAAATCAATCTTTAAAGAAAAGAAAAAGGCAATTAATTCAAAGTTCCTTCCACAGAGGGGCTAAAAACCAAAAACGAGGGATCACCTGTCGAGACAACAATGGTAGGAGCCAGAATTATTCAACTGCCACACACAAAAACACTGAAGTAATGTACACAGAGCAACCTTCTTCTTCATTACAGGCGGCATCAAATAAATGTGTCACTGTTTCTGCAAGCTAATCCAGACTACCGCAAAATGCATTCATATAGTGCAAAAGTCAACCCATAGGGAAAAGGTCTGGAAGAAGACATAGAAAAAAAGAGTGGTTACACCTGGGCAAGTCGGCATCAAGGTGAATTGAGGTTTATCCATATTGCTTAAATGACTGCTAAACAAAGGGCATATATTCCGGTATTACTTTTAAAAAGAGGAAAGGTGGTACACACCCAGTTCTTTGGGAATTTTAAGTCCAAGCGCTGGGACAGGAAGATGACGGCACTGAGGGAGACGGATGGGTTTCCCCACAACACTTCCCTTGCAGATGGATGACCCATGATTCTGTACTCACCCATGACGACAACTTCTACCAACACTTGCAGAGAATGGGAGGGGAAGGAGCGTGTGGACACAGCTCCCAGTGGCAACAGATTCCACTGGGACACCACTCTCTCTCCTTTGTTCTGAACTCTCCTAAGCTACCAAACCTGGGAATTCACACTGTATGAAGATTTAAAGGGGTGAAACAATGTTTCTGCCAACTTCCAAAAGCACAAAGAATATCAACAGCATCCTCCTCCCATCCAACAGAATAAACTGAGGAAATTCATTACACAGCTGCACATTTATCTTTGATATTCAAATTAATTACCCATGGGAACTACCCCTTACTGATGTCAAAAGGATGGTGATTTATTGGATTTATCTTTAGCAATTAACCAAAACTTATTCTATCTTGCCATAAATTCTGGGTTTTGTGGATAAGTTCTAAATGAGTTATTCAACACCTAACCCTAGTCCAAAAAAATCAAGAAGCATACAAACTAGAATACTAAATAAAATAAGCATAATAAACACTATTTCCAGATTAATAAAATATCATTCTAATCAATCACATAGGAGTTCATCTTGGCTCCCCGCATCTTGGTTGCTCTTATAATCTTGTACTTTAACAACTCTGTTACTAGGCTAAACACTGAGGTAAAGCAGCTGGCCCACAGTAAACGTTCAAAAACGTTTTGTCAAGATACCAACCAAAGACTGTTAGGGGAAGGAGGGCACACCACAGGACAGAAAGGGCAAATTCCATCCTAGGAAATATACTAGATTAGCTACTGCATTAGAAGAGGCTGAAAAAGGGGGCTCCAAAGAGGTAGACATCAAAGCTCCAGAGAGGAAATATCCAAGTGCACACCAAGGGGCCCCAAAACAACAATGAAAGTCACGTGCAGTACCGGGAGACATGCAGCAGGTCCATGCTGTAACAGCAGGCACTGTTCCACTGCACCAACAGCCTCCTGCTTCATCCTCACTACCAAAGTTGGTCTGAGGATTTACCAAGAGTTTTATCACACGAAGCATCTGCCTGTTCCTTCAGTAGAAAAACTTCTCATCTCCAGCAGTACTGGCGTCCACAGCCATGGCACAATCACCACATTCTACCCTCGTGAGAACCAAATATTCTAACACATGAAAATCCCCTCCCAAAGTATACAGCTCACTCTCCAGAAAAGTGTGATTTCCTACTCGCACTTCTCATCTATGAATTAGAATCACGCTCTTGACCAGACACAAGATTATTAAAATGCCTAAAAGAAAGGAATTTAAAAATCTAGGTTCAGTCAGCACTGTGGTGTGGCAGGTAAAGCCACTGTTTGTAGTGCTGGCATCCCATAAGGGTACCAGTTCGAGTCCCCGCTGCTCCACTTCTCATCCAGCTCCCTGCTAGTGGCCTGGGAAAACCAGCGGAAGATGGCCTAAGTGCTTGGGCCCCTGCACCCATGTGGGAGACCCAGAAGAAGCTCCTGGCTCCTGGCTTTGGATCAGCACAGCTTAGGCCACTGTGGCCATTTGAGGAGTGACCCAGCAGATGGAAGATCTCTCTCTCTCTCTCTCTCTAACTGCCTTTCAAATAAATACATACTTTTTTTTTTTTAATCTAGTCTCAGAGTGGCTTCTACCTAGAACACAACTCCAAAACAACACAACAAACAACCCTTTTAAGAGATGGGCCCGGGGATTTGAACAGAGATTATGCAAAAGAGGACATCCAGAAAGGGCTTCCTTTGCCATTGGTTCACCCTCCAATGGGCGCCACGGCCGGTGCCTATCGACAGCACACCGAGCTGATCCAATGGCAGGAGCCAGGTACTTCTCCTGGTCTCCCATGGGGTGCAGGGGCCAAGCACTTGGGCCATCCTCCACTGCACTCTCGGGCCACAACAGAAGAGCTGGCCTGGGAGAAAGGCAACCGGGACAGAATCCGGCGCCCTGACTGGGACTAGAACCCGGTGTGCCGGAGCTGCAAGGCAGAGGATTTAGCCTAGTGAGCCGCAGCTCCAGCCAACACAATTGTTTTAAAACATTAACAGAAGTGAGTGTTTGGCGTACCAGTTAAGACATCAGTTAGGAAACCTTTGTACCACAGCGGAAAGCCTGGGATCCAGTCTCCCGACTCTAACTTCCTCCTAATGCAGACCCTGGGAGGAGCAGTGGTACCCTGAGTTACTAGGTTCCCGCCACCCAGGTGGGAGTTCTGGATTGAATTCCTGGCTCCTCCCTTTGTACCCCCACCCCCGCCCCCACCCTACTGTGGGCATTTGGAGAGTGAACCAGAGGATGGAAGTTTTCTCTGTGTCTTTCGGTTTGTTTTTGTGTTTTGTTTTGTTTTGTTTGTTTGTTTGTTTTTCTGACAGGCAGAGTGGACAGTGAGAGACACAGAGAGAAAGGTCTTCCTTTTCTGTTGGTTCACCCCCCAGTGGCCGCTGCGGCCGGCGCGCTGCGGCCGGCGCGCTGCGCCGATCCAAAGCCAGGAGCCAGGTGCTTCCTCCCAGCCTCCCATGGGGTGCAGGGCCCAAGCACTTGGGCCATCCTCCTCTGCCTTCCCAGGCCACAGCAGAGAGCTGGACTGGAAGAGGGGCCACCAGGACAGAATCCGGTGCCCCGACCGGGACTAGAACCCGGTGTGCCGGCGCCGCAGGCGGAGGATTAGCCTATTGAGCCGCAGCACCAGCCCTCTGTGTCTTTCTCTGTGTGCCTATCCCCTTCTCAAATTTAAAAAATTAACATACAAGAAAAAAAACTTAGGTATAAAAAACCTGAATATGGCACCTAAATAGAACTTTCCCAAAAACACTCTGATTATAAAACAAAGCTTATTCATTGAATAAATGCAGGCACTGTATTCTCTGAAAGGTGTATAACCACTCACAGAAAGGCTGTGGATGCAGTGACGAAAATCTACGACTTCTCTATCCTATACTCAACGTGTTCAGAGTATTATCTACATCTTTAAAGATTAACATGTCATTTCTATAATCTTATTTTCAATACTTCATAGTTATATGACTAAAAACAGAATGCCAATAAAGCTTAAAAGCACATCAAAATTACTGCATTCTTTTTAAAACTTTTAAAAGTAACTATTACTGATTATATCCCTTATGGATTTATTGTGTCTGAGAAAGATAACAACATCTGTTGGTGAAGTCTAGTTAAATGCAGAGTCAATATTATCAAACACTAGATTTTAGCTCAGAGTAATACATGTTTCTATGATAAAACAATGTTCATTCAAGTCCAAATGGATTACTAAGAATGATGAATTGATTCCTCTAATCCTCACAACCCTATGAGGTAGTCAGTACAGTAAAACTATATGAATTGAAAATCATTAGAATGGAAAGAATAAGAAATTTTATTTTCTGTACACTATTTGAATTTAAATCTAGACTTCTTTTAAACATGGTGGACTGCTCAGCTCAATTTATCTCCTCTGCTTCTACAACCATTTCAAAAAGACATTAAAGGGATATAAACAATGGGGCTGGCACTGTGGTGCAGTGGGTTAAAGCCCTGGCCTGAAGCGCAGCCATCCCATATAGGCGCCGGTTCTACTCCCAGATGCTCCCCTTCCAGTCCAGCTCTCTGCTGTGGCCTGGGATAGCAGTAGAGGATGGCTCAAGTCCTTGGGCCCCTGCACCCATGTAGGAGACCCAGAGGAAGCTCCTGGCTCCTGGCTTCAGATTGGCGCAGCTCCGGCTGTTTCAGTCATCTGGGGAGTAAACCAGAGGATGGAAGACCTTTTATTTTGTCTCTACCTCTCTCTATAAGTCTGTCTTTCAAATAAATAAAATACATCCATTAAAAAAAAAAGGAATATAAAAGGTATTAATCCACAAAGAGAACAGACTATAAAGCCATGAGATCACAGCAGAGTTTACAAAGGAGGGTTAAGCTTGTGATTAAAAAGAAAATTGAAAGTATGTCATTGTAAAAATTAAAAAAACGGCCAAGTCCTTGGGCCCCTGCACCTGCATGGGAGGCCTGGAAGAAGCTCCTGGCTCCTGGCTTTGGATCAGCACAGCTCCTACAGTTGTGGCCAGCTGGGGAGTGAACCAGCAGATGGAAGACCTCTCTCTCTCTGCCTCTGACTCTGTAACTCTGCCTTTCAAACAAATAAATAAGTCTTAAAAACACACAAACACACACACACACACACACACACAACTGTATATATGAAATACATGAAATTTGTTCCCTTTATAAAATGTTTTTAAAGATTTTTATTATTTATTTATTTGAAGGTCAGAGTTACACAGAGAGAGGAGAGGCAGAGAGAGAAAAAGAGGTCTTCCATCCGCTGGTTCACTCCCCAACTGGCCACAACGGCCAGAGCTGAGATGATCTGAAGCCAGGAGCCAGGAGCTTCCTTGGGGTCTCCCATGCAGGTAAGGAGCCTAAGGACTTGGGCCATCCTCCACTGCTTTCCCAGGCCATAGCAGAGAGCTGGATGGGAAGCAAAGCAGCCAGGACCCCAACCAGTGCCCATATGAGATGCCGGCACTGCAGGCCCGCTATGCCACATGCCACAGCGCTAGCCCCTACAAATTTTTAAAAGTTAAAAAGAAAAAAAAAAAAAGGGGGGGGGGCCGGCGCTGTGGCGCAGTGGGTTAAATCCCCAGCCTGCAGCACCAGCATCCCATATGGGAGCAGTTCCGGCTGCTCCACTTCAAATCTAGCTTCCTGCTGATGCACCTGAAAAAGCAGCAGAGGATGGCCTAAATCCTTGGGAGACACGAAAGAAGCTCCTGGCTCCTGGCTTCGAATTGGCTCAGCTCCGACCACTGCGGCCATTTAGGGAGTGAACCAGTGGACCTCTCTTTCTCTTCTCTGTCTCTACCTCTCTTTGTCACTCTTTCAAATAAATAAAATAAATCTTAAAAGTTTAAAAAAAAAAAAAACAGTAGGAGGTCTGATTACTGAGGTAGCAGTGTGGAGGAAGTTAAAGCCTACATACCAAAAAGGGAAAAGCCAAAAAATGCATCCCACCAAGCACCCGGAAGGCTCAGAACATGGAAGCACTGGGAACTGTGGATGGGAATGACATATAAAAGTGAAATTATTAATAGAAGACTGGAGAGTGTTGAACTCTCCCCATCCTCCACCGTCAGCCAACTGCTGCACCCTAACTTTCCATCTACACTGAACCTGAGGGTCACCAGCATGGAGGAGGATTTGGGTTGGGTGAGGCAAAAGAGAGACTGAAAATATAGGAATTAATTGAAAGTTATCATAAAAAAAAAAAAAAACTGAGAATACTCAGCCCTCTTCTGCCCTACTGCCAGAACCCACTTTTCTAGAGAAACTGACATCCACAGAAATTTAGGAGATCTCAAAAGGAAAAAGTGGCCCTCAGCATGACCATCCTTGAGACAACTGATAAGCCGGGCCAACACATGAACACCAATGAAATTAGCTCTGCAGCATGGGACTAATATGAATGGATGGATGATCTCTCCAGCTTCTTAGGAAAGGCTTCAGAATGAAAAGACAAAGCCCAAACAGAAAATCAGACATGGAGAAAACATCCAATGTGAGAAACAGCGAAGATCTGAGGAAAAAATACAAACTTATATTATCGAGGAGGTATAAGAAAACATTAAATAATAAAAGGGTTTCATGAGAAAGGAACATAGAAAAAAATTTCAGAAGTTTTAAAATACGCAGATAAAATTCAATAGAAGAACTGGAAGATAATAAAAACATAGGATTAGCATCCATAATCCAAAAACCTGAAATGCTCCAAAATTCAATACTTTTTGAGCATAAACAGGATACTCAAAATGTTTTGGATTTTGGAGCACTTCAAATTTCATATTTTCTGATCAGGGTGCTCAACTAGTAAAGTCTATGCAGATTCCAAAATTAAGAAACTGGAAAATTTGAAACACTTCTGGTCCCAAATATTTCAGATAACGGATACTCAACCTATAATGCAATTTAAGATGCAAATAGAATCTTTTTTTTAATTAGAGGATCAATCTGGGAAGTCCAACATTAAAATAACAGCAATTCTATAAAAACAGGACAGAGAAAATTATTTAAAACACACCCAAAATTTCCCAGAACTAAAACAGAGAAGCTGTCTATGGCCATACCATCCTGAACATGCCTGTTCACATCTGAAATAGACACGCCTTCTAGTTGAAAGGCTCCACATTTCAACTAAAGATGAAGAACCATACATACAACATTATGAAATGTCAGAGATAAAGAGAAGCTTCAAAGGGCTTCCAGAAACGAAAAACAGTCCCACGGAAAGGAATGGCGCAAGAGTGCTCAGAGTAATACTGAATGCTGTAAGACATGGATCACTGCCTTTAAAATTTACAGGGAAAATTACTTAACAGGCTCCAAACTATCAAGAGTAGAGACATTTTCTGGCTTGGAAAGCCTAAAAATTTTGACTGCCACTGGTGGATAAGCTTAGAGGATAGCAAAACAAGAAAGAGGAATTCATAGGATCTAATAGGGTCTAATAAGCAAAGATCCAATATGAGGATAAAGTACAAAGGGGCTCTCAGAATGACCAGTGAGCCAAGCAGTAGTCCTGGAGAGCAACACTCCAACAAGCAGAAGATAAAGGAAGATAAAAGAATATAGAAAAAAAATGTCCATGAAAGAATGTAAAAAAAAAAAAAGGAACAGATAGAATTGATAGATCATCTGGTATTTTTGAGCATTTATTCCACTGGATAATCACTGTGACAGTTATATAAGACACTAAACAAAATGTTAAATTAGTAACTCCAACAAAAATAGGATTCCAGTAGAAAAGAAGTAATGATAGTTAATCACTTGCTCCATCAGTGAACATTTATTATCTACTGATCTAATAGCAAGTTGGGAGTTAACACAAAGTTGCATGAATATAAATCTATACTGGGATGGGTGGAAGAAGAAAAATGTGAGGTAAGGATCTAAGAAAAGTAATTCCTGCCTATCATACAACAAATTCAAAAAATCATTTTTGAAACTGATTAATCAAGAAAAAGTAGTATAACATGTTTTTACATAGGAAGACAAATACTAGCATAAACCACTAAAAGTTAAAAATCCTGGTCTCTGGGGTGCTAAGGTAGGTAGAGAAGGGATTGTTCGTTTTCTTTTAACTCTGTTTAACCTTTCAGTTAGTCTTTTTTAGTCTTTTAGTTCTGTTTGATTTTTTTCTTAAACTGTGTGAATTATTTTAATAAAAAGAAATTCAGAAAGTAAGTCTTATCCACCAGCCACCTACCATTTCCTTACCTCAGGCCATCAATACAGAGAGCTTGGAGGAGCTCCTGCAGTCTAAAACAGCTTTCTTTCGAATCAAGACACTAACTCCACACAAAGTAGCAACAGCAAGGCTCAGGGGACAAATTAGAGGCATTTCATTAGTAAAAGAATGGGCAGAGTCCAAATTAATGACATTATACTGTATGTGGAAATAAACATCAGTCCAATATTAACATATTACAAGGATACAGTTCCTGAGATCTTGCTGTGATTTCTCAATTTCTAAATGTGATAATGCATACTGAAAAACTACAACTCAGGATTAAAGATTCCAGGGGAACCTGTGGAAATGAAGACCCTTTATCTCTTGCTTTGGATTTTAAATAATAGCATCCATTTTTGTACTTGTCCTGATTGCAAAGAACTCAACAATCCAATCTGATGTGACACAATTCATTTTTAGCTCATTTACAAAAGAATTCCTATCAAGGTCCCTTTCATCACAGAGGCCTGTGATTCCCACACTGCAGGGACGAGGAACTTGAAATAAAAAGCAAGCACTCAGTTTGGTGATAAGATCACTGATGGACAAGACAATCTCCAAATTTCTCAACAATGCCATGGCCTGGACAAAGCCAAAAAGGAACGATCAACAACCACATGTTACAGAAAACCTGACAAGCTAAAAGTCTTATAGACCTGTTCTTTGGCTCATCTTTTCCTTAACATTCAGGAAGATCAAGCATATTTAACAATTCACAGGGCTCCTCAAAATGCAATATTCCTTTAAGCTTTATAGGTTGTTCTGTGCTACTAGTTCACTGATGGAAACTTAGATATAACATATGACACATTTATACTGCCTAAAAATATGATTTCCCAAATGTGTTTGGTTCCTAAGGGGGAAAAAAAGTGGCTGAAAATCACAATAAAAGTCGTACCTAGGAATACAGCAAATCTGTCAAGCACCTATTTCAAAGAGGGCAAACGATACAAAAGAGAAAATGACTTTATTTTATAAAAAATATTTACAGAAAACTTTTCATGAACTCATATATTTGAATAAAGAAATAGCAAATGAATTCATTTCCTATCCTATGAGTTCAAAAAGTTATTATAGTATTTTTATCATAAATTTATTACTTTGGGGAAAAAAACAAAACACTGACTACCAGAAAAAACTTCCTATCGGCAGCACCTTGATCTTCTTTGTATTCTCACTGTACAAGTTCTTACTATACTGAAAAAAAGCAAAACACCTGATTACTTCACCAACATGGAAATGTACTATATTATCAAACTTTTTTTTCAAATTAGTCTTATGAGCAAGAAAAAATGCCACTAAATTACACTGGAATGATCTGTGTGCTAATTAAAATCACACTTTTAAGTAGCACACAGTTTATAAATACATAGTAATGTATCTAGGTTGTTTATAGATTCCATATGCCCATATTAAACTTAAAGAAGAAAGCCTGTCATTACATATTTATTTTAGTAAATACCCAAGTATTAACTCTTTAAAAAAAAACCCACATTAACTTGCAAGAGAAATTTAAGGTGAAATATTCCACACCATTCTAAGTTCATAGGCAGCAAAAACTGACAACATGCTTCATTTGTATTTACCAGCAGGCCCAGATTAAAAAAAAAAAAATTAAATCAATAAAGAATACTATCATAGCACTTAATAAAGATTATACAGAATATCAGTGAGCGTAAAAAATACAATGTATTATATGATGAGTTTGATTGCAAAAACCACATATTTATTAAACATGATTAACTTAAAAAACACCAAACCAGTTTGCTTTAAAGTGCTCATCATCCAAAACCTTGGACAATACCATCACCCCAAAGTGAATTCAGAAACACAGATAACAAGGCAAACACTGACAATAGATACAGACAGGCACTATCAAAAAATACTATTTGTTCTTTAAATAATGCCATTCTCAAGTGGCAAAGAACTTTGAAGGAATTCCTCTTTTGTATAAATATTCATAAATTAAAATGTCTCCAGATATCCTAAAGAGCTGCAAACAATACCTTACAACAGCAGCTTAACATCTATCTGAGGAAAAAAGCACTAAAATCCTCTTCCATCAGAAGTGGTTTATTTCTCTGGCATAAGTGAGCAAGGTCACTACAATGTTAGCCTCATTTCTAAAGCAAGGTAAATAACAATGCATACATATCTTAAATTTGGTATGTCACAAAAGTGAGGATGCAATACTCTTTTGATGTAACAAGAAAATAAATAAACAAAAATTAAATATTTTAACCCAACATTTGGTATTGGCAAATTCAGTAGTGTCAACTTCACATATGAAGCACAGCACAGTCTGGGTTTTAAAAAATATTCGGATTCAATGTCGTGGTATTTGGGTTAAAGATATTTAGAATATTAAGAGTTTCCTTTTTGCTTAAAGAAACAGAATACAATCACCATCAAGCTGCTATCATAACTCAGTTTTAGCTGGGGTAAAGTGACCATTTGGTCCATGGCACAAGTTACATGTATCACACTTCTGTCAAACTGAAACCTTTCAAGATTTCATGTTTATAAGCTACAATACTCACTGACCAATCCGTCAGTCCCTCACAGTTTTTTAGAAAAATATCTACATTTGTCTTTATGGATGTCAAAATGTTACATCATCATTTGTTTAAAAAAAAAAAAAAGATGCACATTCATACTGTGAAGTTATTAGGAAAATACTCTTGCAAATAAACTATATAAAGATAAAATACACTTCAAAAGTATGTGGGTTTTTTGTTTGTTTTACAATATTCTATAAAGTGCAGAGAAATCCTAAGGGAGACGCTAATCCCTATGACAACAGCTGAGTGGCAGCAGCTTTTGCATAGCAATACTTAGAGGAAGCTGGACACTTCGGTTGCCTCAGGAAGAGAAGGGTGGAAGAAGGGCTTCCGATTCAGGCTTCTTTTTGGCCGTGAGTCTGTTTTCTTCAGGAATGGTTGCTGATGTCAAGTCTCCATTAAGTGTATTTCTTGAACAGTGAGTAGGTCCTAATTAAGAAATTAATTAAAAGATTAAATATCCTGTTAATACTAAATCCAGGACTTCTGTGAAAGAACATATTTTAATTTTCTATTCAGGAAGACAAACTTTCTTTAAGCTTTCTGTTAGCTGTTATTTGCTGTTTTCCAGGGTTTTTTTTTTTTTTTTTTCACTTTTTTAAGATTTATTTATTTGAAAGGCAGAGTGATAGAGAGAGAAGGTGAGTGTGTGTGTGTTGTGAAAGAGAGAGAGAGAGAGGGAGATCTTTCATCCTCTGGCTCATTTCCTAAATGGCCATGTCTAGGTCACACTGAAGCCAAGAGCCAAGAACTCCATCCTGGTCTCCCACACGGGTAGCAGGGCCCAAGCACTTGGGCCATCCTCTGCTACCTTTATTTCTAGGTGCATCAGCCGGAAACTGGATCAGAAGCAGAGCAGCATGGACTCGAACAGGCACTCTGATATGGGATGTCAGACTTCTAAGTGGTAGCTTTATCCACTGCACAACAATGCCAGCCTATGTGTCTGGGAGGAAAAAAAAATCTAACTTTTCTACTACTGACAGCCGTAAGGAGAAACTTCAGAGTTTGTGAGATAAATATGAAACTATCTTAAGTAGAGATTTTTGCTTTGTTCATTGCTAGAACCATGGCTGGCACATAATGGCTATTTAATAAATAGTTGCTGAATTAAACTTAACCTTTCTTAACTTGCTGTGGCTTTTCCAACCTAACTGGTTAATGCTTTTAGTATCCCTCTTGTTATCTGGCAAAGAAATCAAGGTGTGAAAAAGGGCACACCTCCCACAATTGTTAGCAGAACTCAGACTAAATCCAGGACTGCCCCTTTTTGTTGCAAGGCTTTCTGAGCACAGCTGACAAGGCAGCTCACACTGAAGGCTGCCACCGTTCTTTAGAATACTGCTCACTGAACCATCATGCCACCCCAAGGAGACAGAGCTGCAGTGGCACAATTCTACCCTGAGGCCGCAATACTTGCATACATACTGTTTTCATTTATCGTGACAATTTATCTTTACAATTTTTTAAAGATTTATTTATTGGCTGGCACTGCGGCTCACTAGGCTAATCCTCCACCTGCGGTGCCAGTACTCTGGGTTCTACTCCCGGTTAGGGTGCCGATTCTGTCCTGGTTGCTCCTCTTCCAGTCCAGCTCTCTGCTGTGGCCCAGGAGGGCAGAGGAGGATGGCCCAAGTGCTTGGGCCCTGCACCCTCATGGGAGACCAGCAGGAAGCACCTGGCTCCTGGCTTCGGATCAGCGCAGCACGCCAGCCGCAGCGGCCACTGGGGGGTAAACCAACGGCAAAGGAAGACCTTTCTCTCTGTCTCTCTCTCTCACTGTCCACTCTGCCTGTCAGAAAAACAAACAAACAAACAAAACAAACTGAAAGACACAGAGAAAACTTCCATCCTCTGGTTCACTCTCCAAATGCCCACAGTAGGGTGGGGGCGGGGTGGGGGTACAAAGGCAGGAGCATAGAGTTCCAGGATCCTGGGTTTGTTCTGGCCCAGTGAGGGCCATCGCAGCCACTTGGGGAGTGAACTACTAGGTAGAAAACCTCTCTCTTCCGTCACTCTGCCTTTCAAATAAATAAATAAATCTAAAACCAAAAATATTCAGGCCAGGTTCCCAAAAAGGAAGAAAGCTTAGGAAAAATGGGTAGCTTTCCAAAAAACTAGTAACTCAGCTATCACCTGGCCTCTGTGCGAGAGACAGAGAATTAGCATCTAGAAGACAGGGCAGACCACACACAGAACTCTTCTCTGGGCTAAGAGAGTTGTGTGTACAAGGCACAAAGAACGGAGAGTGAATCAGAGTCTGTGTTACCTGCGCACTCTGCCTCTCTTCTTTCTTCTTCCAGGTCTTGCTTAAGTGGTCCAGGAAAATTTCTTTCTCTCCTACCTCCCTCACCCATTTTTCTTCCTTCATTTCTCTACCCTTTGTCCCACTTAATTTCAAAATGCTAACATACCCTCTTATCAATTATTAATTCTGTAAAAAAAAAAATGGGCATGAAGAAAAAAAGATGCCACCATCTTCTAAACACCTGAAAACGGCCAGTAGTCCATTTTTGAACCACCGCCATCTGCCAGAACTCTACAGTTAAACCAGTTTAACTCTCTGGTTAAGTAATAACCCTATTTTTTTTTTTTTTGACAGGTAGAGTGGACAGTGAGAGAGAGAGACAGAGAGAAAGGTCTTCCTTTGCCATTGGTTCACCCTCCAATGCCCGCCATGGCCGGCGCGCTGCGGCCGGCGCACCACACTGATCCGACGGCAGGAGCCAGGTGCTTCTCCTGGTCTCCCATGGGGTGCAGGGCCCAAGTACCTGGGCCATCCTCCACTGCACTCCCTGGCCACAGCAGAGAGCTGGCCTGGAAGAGGGGCAACCGGGACAGAATCCGGCGCCCCGACCGGGACTAGAACCCGGTGTGCCGGTACCGCAAGGCAGAGGATTAGCCTAGTGAGCCGCGGCACCGGCCCAATAACCCTATCTTAATCAGAGTTTCCAATACATTCAAATACTAGAAAAGCACATCACTATTCTGCCCCGTTTCAGCCACACTGTGATTTAGCTAGGCTCTTCTAGGCTACCAGAAGCCTCTGAGCCACCATTTGTTGTGTCATTCCACAGGAGAAACACTAACCGACTGACAAAGGAACTCCTGGAACATGGCCTGTTCCTTAACTGGGAGCTTTAAGTAATTCCTATCCCATATGCTTCATGGGAAGTAAGAAAAATTTTGAAAACTACAAGTCTGTTCGTGGACGAGTATTAAGAAGGTCATTTTGTGCTCACAGGAAGTCATGGACACTACTTTCAAACTCTGTATTCTGGCACCCCTTCAAAGCTTTTCCTCTCAAGAAAAGTTAGCGACAATTTTATCACAAAATCTTTCCTAAGGTCACATTGTACTGTCTCTTTAATAAGGAAGAAAAAGATACAGGAATAAATACTAGGGTAAGCCACCACTACTAACAGCCACAATTATTTGCCTTAACCATTTCGAGGTACATAACTAACAAGGCTGATTATTTTTCTTCCAGCTTAGAACTTGCCTTGATATTTCCCCTAGAAAAAAATCATGCTTTCTTCTAAAATGTTTGTAAAATGCAGATATAGTGAGAGAAAAAGATGACTAGAAGTTATTAAGAAATTACTAAAATGTAATCAGAGTAAAAGACTGTGTAAAGCACACATACAAGAGTAACTCAGAAAGTTCACATTAACAGGATAAAAGGTCAGTCTGGAGATAGGTGTTCAGCCTAGCAGTTAAGATACGGCTTAAAACACCCACATGCCTCATCAGAAATTTGGGTTTCACGCACAGCTCCAGCTCCGAAGTCTAGCTTCCTGCTAATGCAAACCCGAGGAAGCAGCAGTATGGCTACAGAACTGGATTTCTGCCACCCAGGCAGGAGAACCTGGACTGAGCCCCCAGTTCCTGGCTTGTCTCAACTACAGCAGGCATGTGGGAAGTGAACCAGTGGATGGGAGCTTTGTGTCTGTCTCTGTCTATAGTTGGCTCTCTATCTCTCTGCCTCTCAATTAACAAACAAGATGTATACTTTGGTACAAAAAAAAAATTGAAATCCACACACACAAGCTCATTTAAAATGTTATTATAGAGATGCTGGCACTGTGGCACAGCAAGTAAAGCTGCACCTACAGTGTCGGCATCCCATATGGGTGCCAGTTTGAGTCCCGGCTGCTCCACTTGCGATCCAGCTCTCTGCTAAGGCCTGGGAAAGCAGTAGAAGATGGCTCAAGTCCTTGGGCCCTCACACCCACATGGGAGACCTAGAAGCTCCTGGCTCCTAGCTTCAGATAGCGCAGCTCTGGCTGTTAAGGCCATCTGGGGAGTGAACCAGAGGATGGTAGACCTCCCTCCCTCCCTCCCTCTCTCTCTCTCTCTCTGCCTCTGCCTCTCTGAAACTCTGCCTTCAAATAAATAAATCTTTTAAAAAAAGTTATTATAGGGTCTGGCACTGTGGCCAAACCTCTGCCTGTAGCACCAGCATCCCTGCAGCAGCAGTTCAAGTCACGGCTGCTCCACTTCTGATCCAGCTCCCTGCTATTGCCCGGGAAAGTAATGGAAGATGGCCCAAGCGCTTGGACCCTGTACCCATGTAAAAGACCTGGAAAAAGCTCCTGGCTCCTGGCTTTGCCCTGGCCATTGTGGCCATCTGGGGAATGAACCAACGGATGGAAAATCTATCTCTCTCTCTCTACCTCTGCTCCTGCCTCCCTGTAATGCTTTCAAATAAATTAATCTTTTTTTGAAAAAAAAAAATTATAATTCATGGATTTCACAAATGTTGCACCAAAATAAACTTATCTTTTAATTCCACCTTTAAAAAAGATGTATGGACCGGCACCGCGCCTCACTAGGCTAATCCTCCGCCTTGCGGCGCCAGCACACCGGGTTCTAGTCCCGGTCGGGGCACCGGATTCTGTACCGGTTACCCCTCTTCCAGGCCAGCTCTCTGCTGTGGCCAGGGAGTGCAATGGAGGATGGCCTGAGTACTTGGGCCCTGCACCCCATGGGAGACCAGGATAAGTACCTGGCTCCTGCCATCGGATCAGCGTGGTGCACCGGCCACAGCGCGGCGGCCGCGGCGGGCATTGGAGGGTGAACCAACGGCAAAAGGAAGACCTTTCTCTCTGTCTCTGTCTCACTGTCCACTCTGCCTGTCAAAAAAAAAAAAAAAAATGATGTAGGTATTTATTTGAAAGACAGAGTTAGAGACAGTGGGGAGGGGGGAGGGTAGTGAGAGAGAGAGAGATCTTCTATCTGCAGGTTCATTCTTCAAATGACCACAACATCCTATCCTGGGCCAGGATGAAGCCAGGAGCCTGGAACTCCCATCCATGTCTCCCATATAGGTGGCAGGGGCCCAAGTACTGGGGCCACCACCTACTGCTTTGCTAGGTACATTACTTAGGAACTGAACTGGAAGCGGAACAACCTGGATCAGAACTGGTACTCATATGGGATGCTGGAATAACAGGCAGCAGCTTAACACCAGTACCTTAATTCCATTTTTATTATAAACATTTGGAAGCATGTTCATATATTCTTGAAGATACAATATTTAAAAAGCATCCTTCAGCATTTCTTAGCTGTTTGTAGAAGGATAAATATATTTCTGTTGACTTTGTGCTTGTTGGATATATATACATTTGTTGACTAGGTTTGCTTAGATCTTTTTTGAAAAAAAAATTTATTTATTTATTTATTTGAAAGGCAGAATTACAGAGAGGCAGAGGCAGAGAGAGGTCTTCCATACGCTGGTTCACTCTCCAATTGGCTGCAACAGCTGGAGCTGCACTGATCTGAAGCCAGGAGCCAGAAGCTTCTTCCCAGTCTCCCACGTGGGTGCATGAGCCCAAGGACATGGGCCATCTTCTACTGCTTTCCCAGGCCATTAGCAGAGAGCTGGATCAGAAGTGAAGCAGCCAGGACTCGAACTGGTGCCCACATAACTTTACCCACTATGCCATGGTGCCAGCTCCCTGCCTAGTTCTGAATTAAGGAATTAATCCGAGAGCAGGGTACAGTGTTCTGTATCTTTCATTCCAGAATATACAAAGCCTGACAATTTTGCCAAATAGGACAAAGAAAGAGACAGAACCTTTCTAACTTACTATCTGATTCTTCAAGGGGAATATCATTACAAGAGTCTGTATCTGAGTAGGTTCTTCGGCGTCGCTGGGAGAGTCGGTGAAGTGTAGACACTGGTTCTTTTGTACAGTGACTACTCCTGCAAATTAAATAAAAAGTGTTAAGTTGTAAGGACTTAAATAAATAAAAACAATATAACTTAATTGGAATTTTAAATGACTTCTCCTTAAGTGAAAAAAGAATTACTTTTATGTCCAATATCTTATGTAAGCAACATCCTGCTCAGAGGTCAAACTGTAAGCGAGGCAACTCAAATAGAATCCAGCTGGTAACCTGCAGAATACAGCTGGCAGCCTGCACTAAACAGACAGGGTGTACAGAAGAGGAGGTCCAGCGAGACAGCAGACATATCAGAGGATTTACAAATGTTTAAAAATGGAAAGTTATAGATTTCACGAGTATGTGTCTAAAGTCAGTTCATATCTGGTCAAAACCAGCAGACCAGCAGGGATGGGCCAGGAGCCTGGGGAGCATGTTAGCGGTACATTCACTGGCCGGCACCGCGGCTCAATAGGCTAATCCTCCACCTGTGGCGCCGGCACTCCGGGTTCTAGTCCCAGTCGGAGCGCCGGATTCTGTCCCGGCTGCTCCTCTTCCAGTCCAGCTCTCTGCTGTGGCCTGGGAAGGCAGAGGAGGATGGCCCAAGTGCTTGGGCCCTGCACCCGCATGGGAGACCAGGATAAGCACCTGGCTCCTGCCATCGGATCAGCGCAGTGTGCTGGCTGCAGCGCACTGGCTACAGCGCGCCGGCCGCGGCTGCCATTGGAGGGTGAACCAACGGCAAAGGAATACCTTTCTCTCTGTCTCTCTCTCTCTCACTGTCCACTCTGCCTGTCAAAAACAAAAACAAAAACAAAAAAAAACTCCCATTTTCCTGGAAAAGGAGCAGGTAGAACTCTGCATTCCCTGACAGGGTCAGGCATGGGCATGGCTGGCTTCGTCCCAGCACTGATGGTTCAATCAAAGACGACATAATCATCAGAGAAAAACACCAAACCCACAGTAAGGGTTCAGCACTCAGCAGTCAATGTAGCAAAATGCATGCTAACGTCATCATTTCGACACTTTCCAAAAAACTAAATAAGATAGCCATAGCTAGTTAAATGAATACTACAAAAAATAAAAATAAAAACAAACAGTTTAACAACCTGGAATACTGGCAAGATCTATCTAGAAGGTAAATTTCTTCAATCAAGTAGTTTTCCTTCTTTTCAGTAATCCCTTCCTTTCTTCATAAAAATTTCCTTAAATAAAGATAATTTTGACAGAACTCAGTCAAAACAAAAGTTGATTTTACCTTTCTGAATTACAAGAACCAGGGTGGCTGACAGAACGTTTCATCTGAAAATTAAAAAAAAAAAATTAGCATAACATATATGTCAAGTAGAATAATGCAGCTCACGTGCTTCCTATTATTACCATAATTAACAAAGATCTACTCAGAGAGAAAGGTATCTGGGAAAAATTTAACTTTTACAGAGCCAAGTAACATAATTAGCACTTCGTTAAATTCCTCCCTAATAACCATTAATTAGCTCTTTCTCAACACACACCAAAAACATGTTGTATTTTTTTCTCAATACTAAAAATCAAATTTTAACATATATATGTGTGTATATGCATAAAAACATAAAAAAGTGTATCTATCAATAGATAGACAACCTAAAAGTCATACTTTTGTGATAAAAAGGAGTATCTAGCAAGCCAGAAAACAATCTAAGAAATGTCTCTCTTTTTCAAAGGCCAGCAGAGTCAGACAGCAAAGCTTCCCTTCATCAGTCATAACTCAGGGCATTGATACACAGTGTGGTTTTCATGGAAGACAGCATTAATGATTCAGGTCTTTGAAGACCTCAGAAAAACCCTAAGCCTCGAATTTAAACACTTAAAAAAAATAAATATCTGAACAGCACAGTATTTAATAAATATGACAACACTAAAAAAAATTTAGAAGATCCAACTACTCCATCAAAAAACAAAGGGTAGTAGCCAAGTAAAATAATTATCGAAAAATTTAACATGGTAGCAAGAAAAGTAAAATGTATACAAAGCCTTAAGAAAGACTTTCTACACAGGGCCTCAAGAGTCTTACAAGTCCAGCTCTAATGTTTATGTACATAAACAGCTTCTACATTTGAAACATGAGCCACTAATTGCTCTGAAAAACCCCAATTGAAATTATAACAGAAATGACCCACCCAATTTATGGCCCAGAATTATCTAATGTGATTGGCATTAAGGTGTAAGTGACCATTAGTATCTCTTATAGCAGAAACTATTTTCTTTAGGATTACTCATTCAATAATATCCTCACTACAATAATAGCTGAATCTATGGGTCAAATTAACAGCTGTCCGAACTTTGATGATGATTCGAATTAAAGTTATATCCAAGTTTATTCGAAGATGTGGATTCAATGAGATTAAGTAAAGCCATTATATAGATCAGACTGAACAGTTTTGGAATTGTTAAGTATTTCAGCTGGATTTTTCACACACATAAGTTTCATATCAAAAATAATACTTTCACATAAATAAATAACTCAAATTACTCTATTAAAAAATGTTCGTACATGAAGCCCACTTGACCTTATTTTCCACATCCATAAAAATTTCACCATAAGCTACAATTCTTGCTCTTTACATCTAGTAAAATGGCATAGCTAGGAAAAATGGGTAGCCTCTAACCCAGTACTTCCTAGATAAACTTACTGAGTTTCCTGTAATTTTTCTACAGATAAAAGGTTTTGGCTTAAAGAGAGTTGTTATAGTTTCTTACATATAAAATACAAATGACTTCTCTGGACTTCAGAGCACCAGTTAACAGAAAGCACTGCCTAAGAAGTCCAATGTAAGACCAAAGCAGCTTGGAGGTATTTTTTTAATACATTTAGCTGTATAAAATACATCTTTGAAAAAAACTAAAGCAAAAAGTTATGCCTCTTGTACTTACATATCAATCTCAGGAACACAGCACTATTTAAATGTCTGTAGAGACTGGTTTCTTTGTTCAACTGTATTTAAGTTACAACATAGCTACACTCATTCTAAAAAGCACCACTGTCAAACTAGATTTTACCATATCCCACATCTTGTAAACTGGTATTCAAAAGCAACAAAAAGAGTTCAATAGTCTAATACATCTCAGAAACATTAAACACTGCCTTCTGTTGTCAAACAGAATATACTTCAGTATAAGATAGGCTTGTAGAAGTCCTATCACACTGTCCTCATCAATTCAGAGAAACCCAACTCATTCAAGTCAACCTAGCCCTTCCCAAACTAATCTGACCATAAAACTCATTGTCTCAGGGTATACCATAAATGTTAGACCATCATACACTGATTAGAACACCACGCTCTAAGTAAATCTGAGCAGGGGCTGGCACTGTGGTGAACTGGGTTACACTACCACTTGCAACACAGGAATCCCATTCGTCCCCATATTAGTGTGCCAGTTTGAGTCCTGGATGCTCTGCTTCTCATCTAGTTTCCTGCTAACACACCTGGGAAGGCACCAGAAAATGGCCAAAGTGCTTGGATCCCTGTGGGAAATCCGGATGGAGTTCCTGGCTCCCAGCTTTTGCTTGGTTCAGCCCTGGCTGTTGGCAGCCATCTTGGGGGAGTGAACAAGAGGATGGAAAATCTCTTTCTCTCCACCTCTCCCTCTGTTAATCTGCCTTTCAAATAAATAAATAAATAAACAAATCTTTAAGTAAATTTAGGCAATTATCTTTACTAAATCTCACATAACTAAATGTGGTAGGGTGGATAAGAGTATCTTCCAATAATAGCTAAAACTCAGCCACATGGCTCTCTTCCTCTTACAAATGGGCCGCTAAAAAAAACAATGTAGTCTTATCAACTCTTATCTTACCCACAAGTTCCTCCACAACACGCTAGAGAAAGTTTATTAACTTGGAAAGGACAGGAATCAACCACCCACAGCAGAAAGAGTACTTGCTGTTCAAAGAGATCAGGAGTCAAGGAACTAGCAATAAAAAACACAACACTAAGCAGGCTTTGCAATGATTCTCTGATCTGCAGAATATATGTATTTTTTTTAAGATTCACTTATTAATTTGAAAGGCAGAGTTACACAGAGAGAGGAAAGGTAGAGAGAGAGATCCTCCACCCGACGGCCCACTCCCCAATTGGCCATAACAGCCAGAGCTGCGTCAATCCAAACCAGGAGCCAGTAGCTTCCTCTGGGTCTCCCACTTGGGTGCAGGGACCCAAGAACTTGGGCCATCTTCTACTGCTTTCCCAGGCCATAGCAGAGAGCTGGATGGCAAGTGGAGAAGCCAGGACTTGAACTGGCACCCATATGGGATGCCTGTGCTTCAGGCCAGGGCGTTAACCTGCACCACAGCGCCGGCCCCAGAAGACACGTATTTTACTGATGCAGAAACGGAGGACTAGAGAGATTAAGTAACTTGTCTACCTAGGGCATTCAAAATTGTATGTTAACTACAAAATACTGTTCGCACAGGCACATCTCAAATTATCTACAACTCTTTTAGGATCTGCCCACTGGAATTCCACTGTAAATAGAACATCACACTCCCCCCACCCCGTGAAGTATGACCAAGCCAAACAGCACTCCCCAGCCCGCTACGTGTCAGAGTACAGAGGGCATCACAATACTTCCCTGGCACACCAGGGTCAATGGGTAAAGCAGCTCATGGTCCTATCAGCCCCTCTGAGGGGGAGGGGATTAGGACACCAGCACACACGACGAGCTCAACAGCTGAGAAGATTCAATACAGAATAGGAGTGCAAACACACAAACCAACTCAACCTGTGGGCTCCTACTTCCACCTTAAAAATAAAACAAAAGAAAGCCCAGATACATTAACACTAGAAGGAAAACAGAAAGTTCCCACCATTTGAACAGGAGAAGGTGACACAGGAGACACTAAAGGATCCGGATGGGGCAGCTGAAACATCTCAGGCTTAAACTTGGCATTTGCTATCTTCACACATTCCTCAAGTGTCGTGATGAATGTATTACATGTAGCACTGAGCAGAGAAGAGGCTTCATTCATATTCTGAAAAATCACAAAGATTTGAACAGACTTGTACATAGCTACACAGAATCACACACACCTTATGGTCAAGTACTGACACATTATCTCTAACAGACACATAACCAGGATATGTTCAAATTTGTTTAAAATATACTACCTTAGAAATTTAGGGACATGGGGCCAGTGCTGTGTGGTATGGTGGGCTAACCTCGGCCTGCAGCACTGGCATCCCATATGGGCGCTGGCTCAAGTCCTGGCTGCTCCACTTCCGATCAAGCTCTCTGTTATGGCCTGGGAAAGCAGTAGAAGATGGCTCAAGTCCTTGGGTCCCTACACCCATGTGGGAGACCCAGAAGAAACTCCAAGGTCCTGACTTCAGATCAGCACAGCTCCAGCCATTGCGGCCAGCTGGGGAGTAAACCAGCAGATAGAAAACCTCTCTCTCTCTCTACCTCTCCTTCTCTCTGTGTGTAACTTCTGACATTCAAATAAATAAATATATCTCTAAAAAAAAAAAAAAAGAAATTTAGGGACAAGAGCAGGTGTTTGTCAAAAGGCTTCCATAGCCTTGGCAACTCATGACAAGAGCCTAGGGGGATTACTGATGCCATAAACAGGAGTGTCAATTTGTTAAGTCAACAACAGGAGTCACCGTGCACTTACTCCTCATGCAGGATCTCTGTCCTTAATGTGCAGTACATTGTGATTTAATGCTATAACTAGTACTCAAACAGTATTTTTCACTTTGTGTTTCTATGTGGGTGCAAACTGTTGAAATCTTTACTTAATGTATGCTAAACTGAGTATATAAAGAGAATTGAAAATAAATCTTGATGTGAATGGAAGGGGAGAGGGAGAGGGAAAGGGGAGGGTTGTGGGTGAGAGGGAAGTTATGGGGGAGGGGGGCATTGTAATCCATAAGCTGTACTTTGGAAATTTATATTCATTAAATAAAAGTTAAAAAAAAAAAAAAAAGAGAGCAGGTGTTTGACAGAGCAGTTAAATGTTACTTAGGGAGCCGGCACCGTGACTCACTTGGCTAATCCTCTGCCTGGGGTGCCAGCATCCCATATGGGCACCAGGTTCTAGTCCCGATTGCTCCTCTTCCAGTCCAGCTCTCTGCTGTGGCCCAGGAGTGCAGTGGAGGATGGCCCAAGTGCTTGGGTCCCTGCACCCGCACAGGAGACCAGGAGGAAGCACCTGGCTCCTGGCTTTGGATCTGTGCAGCGCCAGCCATAGTGGCCATTTGGGGAGTGAATCAATGGAAGGAAGACCTTTCTCTGTCTCTCTCTCTCTCATTGTCTATAACTCTACCTGTCAAATAAATTTAAAAAAAAATTTTTTTTACTTAGGATGCCTGTATCCCATATCAGAGTATTGGTTTGCGTCCTGGCTTCTTCACTTTATTTTTTTTTTTTAATATTTATTTTATTTGAAAGGCAGAGTTAAAGAGAGGGAGTGAGAGAAAGAGAGAGGGAGACACAAAGAGAGATCCTCCATCTACTATCTCACTCCCCCAAAAGGCGGCAATGGCCAGCATTGGGCTGGGCTGAAGCCCGGAGCTGGGAGCTTCTTCCAGGTCTCCCACATGAGTGGCAGCAGACCAAGCACTCAGACCACTTTCCACTGACTTCCCTGGTACAATAGGAGAGAGCTGGATTAGAAGTGAAGCAGCCAGGACTCAAACCAGGGAGTGAACCAGTGGATGGAAAATCTTTCTCTGTCTCTTCCTCTGTCTCTGTAACCCTTTCAACTAAATAAACCAATCTGGGGGGGGGGGGGGGGGATAAATTACAGAGAGGAGACAGAGAGAGAAGTATCTCCCAACTGCTTGTTAATTCCCCAGATGGTGATGGCAGCCACAGCTGGGCCAGGCCGAAGCCAGGAGCTTCCTCCAGGTCTCCCATGTGGGTAGCAAGAACCCAGGCATTCGGGCCATCCTCCACTGCCTCTTCCCAGGCATTAGCAGGGAGTTGGCCTGGAAGTGGAGTAGCCAGGATACAAACTGCCACCCATATGGGACGCTGGTGTTGCAGGAGGCAGCTTTATCCACTATGCTACTACACCGGCCCCTACATAAATAAATCTTAAAAAAAAATAAAATAAATAAAGATGTTATCAACTCTAAATAAGAGAAGCTTGGACCTTATTACCAAAAGAAAGAGAACAGCAACTGTCCACTGAATTCATGCAGTCAGCCTGGAGACTACAGCCGGAATGCTTCTTTCCTACTCCAACCTCCAAATTATTACAGTGGCTACAAGGATGGGCCTGAGTCCCTGGAGAAGCGTAGCACTCCTTGCACTACTCTGGTCATACAGACGTCACCTAGAAGATCCCACAGAATTCCAGATGGGCCACAGCAAGAAAAGCTCAGAAGACCTGAGAATAACTCATTGTGGACTTCCCAGGGTACTACAAAGTGTAACCAGACGTGAAGGGATCCTCTTCGTCATACCTCTATGCTGGGAGATGAACGACTCTCATCATGGTGAACAAATTCCTGGATTGTATGAACTTGCTGCATTAGGAGGTCACAGTACAGGCGAAGTTCAGACATTTTGGTTTTCAGAGATTCGCTGGTTTCACTTATTTCTGAAAGGAACATATATAAACGTTCAATTAAATCTTTTTATTAATGTTTATTTACTTCACAGAGACAGAGGGGCAGACACACACACACACACACACACACACATAGTGCTTTCATCTATTTACTCCCCAAAAGGCTACAACAGCCGGGGCTGGGCCAGGCTGAAACCAGGAGCCTAGAACTTTGTCTAGGTCTCACACATGGGTGGCAGGGCCCATGCACTTGTGCCATCCTTCTGCTGCTTTCCCAGGTGCATTAGTGGGGAACTGGGTCAGAAGCCGAACAGCGGGGACTTGAACCAGTGCTCTAATATGGGACGATGGTGCCGCAGGTTAACCCACTCAGCCATAACGTTAGCCCAACATAACATCTTTAAGGTTCACCCACGATGTAGCACGTGGCAGAATTTCCTTCTCTTTTAAGGTTAAATATTATTGAATATGTATACATTTTGTCCATCCATTCATCTGACTATGGACATTTGAGTTATAACTCAGCTACTGTGAATATCCATTCCTTTTCCTATCCCTGGCTAGACCCGATCAATGATGTTCTATGAAAAATTTGAAACTGTCATAATTTCAATATAAACCTCCATTTTGTTCAATATACATAAGGTAGCTATTTTCACTAATTAACCAATTTTTTTAGTTATAAAGTAATGCATACTCAATGTAAAATTTTGGAAAAAAAGGAAAAGAAACAATTCTACTCTTGCTACCAACATATAAAAACTCATTATTTTCACATTGTATCTGCATACAGTCGAAATAATACCACAAATCATTTGCTTTGCTTTTGATTTTTATTTAATCTTTCTAAATAAGCAATATGTATACATGATAAAGTTAAAAGATACCAAAGGATACACAATGAAAATTGAGTCTCCTTGCCATAAATTCTACTCCCAAAGAAAACTTTGCTACTTCATATATCTTTCCCAAGCTAATCAATGAATACTAACACCACAACTAATTTTGAAATCCTGCTTTTTTTTTTTTTTTTTTTTTTTTTTTTGACAGGCAGAGTGGACAGTGAGAGAGAGAGACAGAGAGAAAGGTCTTCCTTTTGCCGTTGGTTCACCCTCCAATGGCCGCCGCGGCCGGCGCACTGCGGCCAGCACACGGCGCTGATCCAAAGCGAGGAGCCAGGTACTTATCCTGGTCTCCCATGGGGTGCAGGGCCCAAGTACTTGGGCCATCCTCCACTGCCTTCCTGGGCCACAGCAGAGAGCTGGCCTGGAAGAGGGGCAACCGGGACAGAATCCGGCGCCCCGACCGGGACTAGAACCCGGTGTGCTGGCGCCGCAAGGCAGAGGATTAGCCTAGTGAGCCATGGTGCTGGCCTAAATCCTGCTTTTTTTTGCATTGATCATTAATTTTTCACATTTTTTAACAATAGGTAAATATTTACTGGTTAAGTAATAAACGAAGGATTTTCAAGAAGCTCACAGAAAATGCATATTATGAAAAAACTATGAATGGATTTCTATTCTTTTTGCACCAAAATAACCACGTTCTAATTTGTTATAACATATGTGAATAACATCTAGTTTGAGGAAGTAAAAAGGTAAGACAGGAGTTTGAAAAACTGTCCCTGCCTAGGGTGATTACTGATGCCATAAACAGGAGTGTCAATTTGTTAAGTCAACAACAGGAGTCACTGTGCACTTACTCCTCATGTAGGATCTCTGTCCTTAATGTGCTGTACATTGTGATTTAATGCTATAACTAGTACTCAAACAGTATTTTTTACTTTATGTTTCTGTGTGGGAGCAACCTGTTGAAATCTTTACTTAATGTATGCTAAACTGATCTTCTGTATATAAAGAGAATTGAAAATAAATCTTGATGTGAATGGAAGGGGAGAGGGAGTGGGAAAGGGAAGGGTTGCGGGTGGGAGGGACGTTATGGGGGGAAGCCATTGTAATCCATAAGCTGTACTTTGGAAATTTATATTCATTAAATAAAAGTTAAAAAAAAATTAAAAAAACAGTCCCTATCAGATCAACATGAATGCTGCTGAAACTGATGCAAAAATACACATTAAATTTATAACAGGGCTTGGGTGAAAGACTGGTAAAATCATGGCATTGTACGAAAACTCGATGGGGACAATGTCACAAAGAAATCAGCAGCTTCCTGACGGATAATTCATTTTAAGATAATGCTGAAAATGAAGCTGGCAGCTGCAGACCATCCATATGAATTTTTGGGGAAAAAGTTAATTTTGCTCCTGCTCTAGAAGAAAAAGACTGAAAATTAACAGTAGAAGTAACAGCCAACACCAAGACATATCATTTGGTTCAGCTTATGTAATTCCGACTGAAAAATTAAAGTGGAGCGACCTTTCTGCTTGATGGGTGTCCAAACTGTTGTGCCCAATCAGCTACAGAAAAGGGCAGAGCTACCAACAGAAACTTTAAATTAAAGTGGATCAAGATCCTGAAGCATCTCTTCAAGGAACCGGAACAGAAGATGAACTACGGCTTTATCTGATCCTAAAGACAGAATACAGTGAAAGCAATGGCTCCCAAGAAGTGGGAATGGTCCAGTTAGAAAACAGGTCATGGAAACACAGTTCTGGGGATGCTCAAGGCATTTTGCTTGTTGACTCTATGGAGGGACAAAGCATGGTAACATCTGGTAGCAAGAGCATTTTAAGAAAGGCAAAGCTTTAGCAGAAAAATACCCAGCAAGCTGAATCAGAGTCCTTCACCATGGTAATGCTCCTGCTCATTTCTCTAATCAATCAAGAGCAATTTTGCAAGTTTTGATGGGAATCATTAGACACCTACCTGACAGTCTGATTTAGTTCCTTCTTATTTTTGTTCCCCAATCTTAAAAAAAAAAAAAAATAAATCTTTAAAGGGCACTCATTTTTCTTCAGTTAACAATGTAAAGAAAAACACTGCTGGGGCCGGCACTGTGGCGTAAGCAGTTAAAGCCTCCACCTGCAGTGCCAGCATCCCATATGGGCACCAATTCAAGTCCCGGCTGCTCCAGCAGTGGAAGATGGCCCAACTCCTTGGGCCCCTGCATCCAGTGGGAGTCCTGGAAGAAGCTCCCCTTAAGATAGCCACAGTTCTGGCCACTGCTGCCAACTGGGGAGTGAATCAGCAGATGGAAGACCTCTCTTTCTCTACCTCTCCTCTCTGTGTAATTCTGAATTTCAAATAAATAAATAAATCTTAAAAAAAAAAAAAGGAAATAAAAAATGGCACTGACATGGTTAAATTCCCAGGACCTTCAGCTCTGCAAGGAGATTCAATGGCTCCGTCACTGCTTAACAAGACAGGCATCTGGCCTAGGAGTTAAGGTGCTGCTTAGGGTGCCCAGATCCCATACTGGAGTATCTGGGTTTGACTTCCAGCTCCAGATCCTGATTCCAGCCTACTCCTAATGCAGTCTGGAGGCAGTGCTGATGGCTCAAATAGCTGAGTTTCTGCCATAGATGAAACCTGGATTAACTTCCCAGCTCCCAGTTTTGGCCCCCCAGCCATTGCAAGCATATGAGGAGTGAACCAGCAGTTGCAAACTCTCTCTCTCTCTTGCTGTCACTCTGACTCTGTCTCTCAAATAAATAAATTAGAATGTATTTTGAAAGGAATCTCAACTTGATGAAGCTTGTGTTGCAAAACAAAGTCTCAATTTTTTAATTAATTAGAGGTGGCAAAACAAAAAGAGACAGAGAGGTTCCATCCACTGGTTCACTCTGTAAATGCCTACAGTTCATTCCAAGCTTCCCTCGTGTGTGGCAGGGACCCAACTACTTGACCCATCCTCTGCTTCCCCCCAGGGTGCCCAGGTGCAGGAAGCTGAAACCAACAGTGAAGCTAGCACTCAGACCCAGGCACTCGGATATGGGATGTGAACATTCCAAGCAGCATCTTAAACATTAGGCCAAATGCCTACCTCTATTTTTTAAAACTTATTTTTTTTTTTTGACAGGCAAAGTGGATAGTGAGAGAGAGAGACAGAGAGAAAGGTCTTCCTTTGTCGTTGGTTCACCCTCCAATGGCTGCCGCGGTCGGCGCGCTGCGGCCGGCGCACTGCGCTGATCCGATGGCAGGAGCCAGGTGCTTCTCCTGGTCTCCCATGGGGTGCAGGGCCCAAGCACTTGGGCCATCCTCCACTGCACTCCCTGGCCACAGCAGAGAGCTGGCCTGGAAGAGGGGCAACCGGGACAGAATCTGGCACCCCGACCAGGACTAGAACCCGGTGTGCCGGCGCCGCAAGGTGGAGGATTAGCCTAGTGAGCCGCGGCGCCGGCCCTATTTTTTAAAACTTATTTTTTTATTCCATCTTTCTAAAAACTTCTTTTAGGTCCCCTTGCATCAATTCCCCTAAACAATTCACATGAATTTATCTTTGCATTATTTATACAATTTTTTTTCAGTAGGATGAAGATCTGTATATATAAATTTTCTATATTTCTGCTTATTTCCTTGGGATAGATTATTATAAGTGAACAGGACAATTTAAAACTTTAAGAAAAATTCTTGGGGCCGGAGCTATGGAGTAGCAGATAAAGCCACCACCTGCAGCACCGGCATCCTGTACAGTCACCTGTTCAAATCCCGGCTGTCCCACTTCTGATCCAGCTCCTTGCTAATGCATCTGGGAAAGTAGCAGAGGATGGCACAAGTACTTGGGTCCCTGCACTTATGTAGGAGACCCAGATGAAGCTCCTGGTTCCTGGGTTCAGCCTGGCCCACCCCTGGCCACTTCGGCCATTTGGGGAGTAAACCAGCAGATGAAGGATCTCTTTTAAGTGCTCTCTCCCCTCTCTCTGCCTTTGTATTCTCTGTAACTCTATCAAATAAAAAAGAAGAAGAAAAAAAAAAAAAGAATAACTCTCTAGGGCCAATGTTGTGGCACAAGGGGTTACACCAGCAATGCCAACAGTCCATATGACCCCTGGTTCAAGACCTAGCTGCTCCACTTCCAACCCAGCTCCCTGCTAAAGCGCTTGGGAAAGCAGCAGAACATGGCTCAAGTCCTTGGGCCCCTGCTACCTATGTGGAAGACCTAGATGATGTTCCAGGTTCTAGGCTTCAGCCTGGCCCACCCCAGCCATTATAGCCATCTAGGGAGTGAACCAGTGCATCAAAGATCTCCTCCTTTCTCTCTTTCTCACTGTAACTAACCCTGCCTTTCAAATAAGCAAACAAATCTTAAAAAAAAAAATAAGAAAATACTCTCACCACAATATTTCAGTTACCTTTTTCTTTTTTAGTCCTAGTATCAGTCAAACACGCCTTGGAGCTCCCAAGAGCAACCAGCCACCTCTGTCTCTCAGCTGCATTCACGGCCTTCATGTAGAAATGCTGCTCTCCTGGAATGATTAATTCCATTCTCGTGTTGTCTGCTGAATGGACTACAGTGACAGACAAAGGGGAAATACGGTTACAGGCTTACGGAATTTGGGCAGACTCAAATCATCTCCTCCACACAGTTCTAGGTGCTTCAGACACCTAAAACAACTATGATTCATGATGCAGGCAGCACAACCCCCAAAAGGGTCACCACCCAGCTACACCTTCAAAACCACCATTCTCACAGGGACCCAGGGTAACAAAGCAGTAACGCAGACAAAGGAAAATAGGAACAAATTAACAACTGAGAAGTGAAGAGCTGGATCGGAAGTGGAGCACTCAGGACTCAAATCAGTGCCCATATGGGATGCCAGTGCTGCAGGCCGCAGCTTTATCTGCTACGCCACAGCTCTAGCCCCAAGAATTTTTCCTAAAGATTTAAATTGTCCTGTCCACTTGGGGCCACCTATACCACCTTAAATACACATGCAATAAATGTCACACATATCACAGAACTTTCTTACTGATTTCTTTGAGGGCAGTCTATGTTTTGATATCCCTCAAGCCTGAGATGGTGCCTGGTGTATAGAAAGAGTGGCCCCTTCCATTAGAATACTTGCTCTATGATATGCCTGGAATTATGAGGTGGCTCCTAATAATCTCAAAGGCATATCCTTTTCCATCCTTACACCTCCTCTCCAACACAAACTCTTGAAACGCTGACAAGAGAGCTGATCAAAAATTGTGCTGTCAGTTCCAAGTCTTTGATGTAAGATGAAGTTTGTGTTATATTACTGGCATTAATAAAACAACTAGTTAGCTCATAGTAGTGTGGGTAGACAGAAAAACAAAGGGAGAAAAAAGGAGTGTTTACTTTTTAAATTTGACATGCTTTTAAAATTTTATTTATTATTTTTACTTGATAAGCAAAGACAACAGACACAGAGAAACCTTCCATCTGTTGGTTCATTCCTAAGTGCTAGCAGCAGCCAAGGCTGGGCCAAGCCACAGTCAGGAACCTGGAACTCAATCTAGGTCCTCTATGCGGGTCGCAGGGAACCAATTACTTGAGCCATCACCTGCTGCCTCCCAGGGCATCAAATAAGCAAACAAATCTTAAAAAATAAATAAGAAAATACTCTTATTTAAGAAAGTACTCTTATATTAAGAAAGTACTCCCTGCTGTACATCAGCAGGAAGCTGGATTTGAAAGTGGAGCCGGGATTTATCACAGTGCAGTAGGGGAAAGTTGCTATTTTCAATAAATATGCTCAGTCAACTGGATATCCATGTGGGGAAAAATTATATATATATATACACATATATACATATATATATATATTTGAGAGGTAGAGAGAGAGAGACAGAGATAGAGGGATCCCTTCTACTGGTTCACATCTCAAATGTCCAAATGGCCAGGCAAAAGCTCAAAGCTGGAACTTCCTGCTCATGTGCTTGTGAGGCAGCCAATGATGGCCCAAGCACTTGGTTTCTGCCACTCAGGTGGGAGACGTGGGTGTAGTTCCTGGCTCCTGGTTTTGCTTGGCCCAGTCCTGGCTGGTACAGGCATTCAGGCACTGAACCCAATATATAGATTAAAAACCTCTCTCTCTCTCTGGGCCCCCTCTGTCACTCTTCATTTCAAATAAATAAATGAATCTCTAAAAAATAAAAGATTCATGTCATTTTCTGTACATTATGCTTTAATAAAATATTAAACAAATTAACAACAAAGGATGCTGCCATGGCTTGGGACCACTATGGAACTGCCTTAGGATTCCACAGTAGACATTTACGTATCTTTTTTTTTTAATTTATTTATTTATTTCTTTGAAAGTCAGAGTTACACATAGAGAGGAGAGGCAGAGAGAAAGAGAGAGAGAGAGAGGTCTTCCATCTGATGGTTCACTCCCCAATTGGCAGCAATGGCTGAAGCTGCACCAATTCAAAGCCAGGAGCCAGGAGCTTCTTCCAGGTCTCCCACGCGGGTGCAGGGGCCCAAGGAGTTGGGCCATCTTCCACAGCTTTCCCAAGCCATAGCAGAGAGTTGGATCAGAAGTGGAGCAGCCAGGACTTGAACTGGCACCCATATGGGATGCCGACGCTGCAGGCCATATGGCCTGCATATGTTAACCCACTGCATATGTTAACCACTGCATATGTTAACCCAGAGTGTTAACCCACTGCGCCACAGTGCAGGCCCCAGACTTTTACATATCTTTTAAATAGCCTCAAGGTTCACAAACCTTTGTATTTTGAATGGAATTTTTAATTCTGACCAAAACACATTTGAAATAAATTTGGGGATAAAATGAAATAAAACCACCACTTTAAGAAAAAATAAAAACTAATGCTTTGAATCTGTTCTTTTGTGTGTGTGTGATTTATAAACTGTGCCTTATACAAACTAGTTCACTGGGTCATAAAACAATTCCAAAGAGTTTTGTAATGTTATAGGTGATGATAGTGTAGTTGAAAGACTTACACAAACCCCAAAAATGTGGACAGAGAAAGCCAAATGTTACAAGTACACATTTCAGTATGTTAAGAAAAAAAAAAAAACATTGTACCCCTTCAACGAGGCTGAACAAGCTATGTCTTGACTCTTCTCCCTTAGAACAGTAGGAATTTTCAACTGAAGGGGACATGATTTAATCACATGGCACTCATATATAGTTTCGAAAAAAGCTCCCCATGGCATGGATCTATCCCAAGCTGGAAATCACTGGTGTAAAAAAGTGCTCCTGTATGGGGCAGGTGTTGTGTAGCAGGTTAACTACTGCCTGCAACACAAGCACATCCAATATAGGCACTGGGTCAAGTCCTGGCTGCTCCACTTCTGATCCAGCCCTCTGCTAATGCACCTGGGAAAGCAATGGAACATGATGGAAGCACTTGGACCCCTGCTACCAACGTGGGAAACACAGAAGAAGCTCCTGGCTCTCAGCTTTAGCTTCACCCAGCCCCAGTCGTTGTAGCCAACAACAAAAAAATCGGCACTCCAGTCCTATCAAATCTGAGATGAAGGTAAGGAACCAGATGTGTAACTAAAGAATATGCTTATTTTACATGAAAACCCATTCAAAATGGATTAACGACCTAAATCTACAAGTTGATAATCATCAAATTACTAGAGAACATTGGGGAAACCCTGCAAGACATTGGCACAGGCAAAGAGTTCTTGGGAAAGACCCCAGAGGCACAGGCAATCAAAGCCAAAATCAACAGATGAGATTACATCAAATTGAGAAGCTTCTGTACTGCAAAAGAAACACTCAGGAAAGTGAAGAAACAACCAAAAGAATAGGAGAAAAGATATGTAAAGTATACAACTTATAAAGAATTATTAACCAGAATATATAAAGAGATTATGAAACAACAACAAAACAAACAACCCAGTTAAGAAATGGGCAAAGGACTTAAATAGACATTTTTCAAAAGAGAAAATCCAAATGGCCAACAGACAAATGAAAAAATATTCAGGATCACTACCTGTCAGGGAAATGCAAATCAAAAGCATAATGAGATTTTACCTCAACCCAGTTAGAATGGCTTTCAGACAGAAATCACGAAACAACAAATGCTGGCAAGGATATAAAGATAAAGGTACCCTAATCTACTGTTGTGGGAATGTAAGCTGGTAAAGCCACTATGGAAGACAGTATGGAGATACCTCAGAAATCTGAATGTAGAACTACCCAGCCATCCCACTCCTGGGAATCTACACAAGGGAAATGAAATCAGCAAAGAAAAGAGTTATCTACACTCCCATGTTTATTGCAGCTCAATTCATAATAGTTAAGACATGGAATCAACCTAAATGCCCATCAGCTGAATACTGGATAAAGAAATTACAGAAATATGTACTCTATGGAATACTACACAGTGGTTAAAAAAAATGAAATCTAGTCATCTGCAACAAAATGGATGAATCTGGAAAACTTTATACTTAGTGAAATAAGCCAGTCCCAAAGGGATAAATACACTATCTTCTCTCTGACTTGTGGTAACTAATAGAGCACCTAAAAAGGAAATCTACAGAAGTGAAATTGACACTTTGAGAAGCAAGGATGTGAACAGCCCTTGTTTTGACTGCTGAGGAACAGTCTTGGTTTTTTTTCCTAATGGAGAATGGGATTGGGAATGGGAGAGGGAGGAGGAGGTGGGGTGGGGGTAGGGGTGAGGGTGGGAGGGCGGTTCTGATGGGAAGAATCATTATGTTCCTAAAGTTGTACTTATGAAATCTGCACTCATTAAATAAATGGTTTCTTTGGGAAAAAAAGAAATAAAGAATATGCACCCAAAGCAGAAACTCTCTTTTGTCTCTATGGCTAAATCTTACTAAGGCCTACCACAAAATCATACAAAAGCAGTAATTCAGCCCTGAAAAATGTAACCCAATGAATCAGCTGCTGATTTAATCTAAATTTTAAAATGTGTGAAACAGTGAGATAACTGAAGTATTTGGTAGTTACATGCAAGGGATCATCATGTCAAGAGCTACCCTTTATGATGGAGGAGTATTCAACTTAAACAGAAGAAATGAGACTTGGAAAACTCAAGTTAAATAGAAGAAAGAAGACTTGGAAGGAGTTTAACATTTATTCTTTTATTTGCTCTAGTTTCATCTTTGATTGTCTTTGAAGAAGAATTCAATATTTTGCATTACTATTTTACCTGATTTCCTTCTACCTACGTCCACCCCACACACTCCAACCACACATAGAAATCAACTGACCATGAAACCTTCATCAAAATTACAGCATGACCTAAATTGCTTTATTTCTACCCTTTCGGGAAAAAAAAAAAAAGGAAATGATCTCTATCATCTACAAGAGATTATCTCTAACTTGGAAAGAACCAGAGTTTATGACTCTGACTTTAAACTTCCTCAAAACCCTAGAGAGCTGGCTTTATAGCCTGGCTTCCAATCTACATTTCTATAAGGAGAATGAAATAGGATGCTTGTAGACTGAACATGGGCACTAAAGTAGCATCTACAAGAAGCTGTCAAATCCAAACAGGAACAGCAGCGGAAGTATTTTGAATTTCAATCAATTGATACAGGGAAAATTATCAAAAACCATGTTTAACAATGCCAAATGCCATTCCTTATTGCTAAGAAAATAAATAGTATTAGAAGATCCCTTGTGCTTAACGATGCTTTTTTTCATCGTTTGGAGCATGATGAAGAACCTTTACTACCTAACTTCAAAGTCCTCAATTCTATAAACTCACTTACCTTTAATTTCACAAACTGCCATCTTTATACTTCCTTTGCTCCCTTTGCAAACATCATCTTGTGAATCATAGTAGGATAGGATTCCATTATCTAAAACAAACCAACGAGGCTGCCAACCTACAAAGGGCAGAAATAACAAAGGATGATGAGAAATTACCTTTACCACATAAAAAACTGTAATTTTAAAACCTGCCTTACAGGGGCCACTGTTTGTAGCACAGCGGTTTATGCAGCCACTTGCGATGCTGGCATCCCCTACTGGAGTGCCCATTTGAGTCCTGACGGCTTTGCTTCTGATCCAGCTTCCTACTGGAAGGATGGCCAAACTCCTCGGGCCCTTGTAACCCACCTGAGAGACCAGAATGGAGATCCTGGCTCCTGGTTTCAGCCTGATCCAGCCCCAGCCACTGCAGCCATTTGTGGAGTGAACCAGCAGATGGAAGACTGATTTCAATCTCTCTGTCTCTGTGGCTCTCCGCCACTCTGCCTTTCAAATAAATGATGCTTAGGAAAAAAAAAAAAAAAAAAACCTGGGACCAGTGCTGTGGCTCAGTAGGTTAATCCTCCACCTGCGACACCAGCATCCCAAATGGGCGCCAGTTCTAGTCCCTGCTGCTCCTTTTCCAATCCAGCTCTCTGTTATGTCCTGGAAAAGCAATAGAAGATGGCCCAAATGCTTAGGCCCCTGCACCCACATGGGAGACCTGGAAGAAGCTCCTGGCTCCTGGCTTCAGATCAGCACAGCTCCGGCCGTTGTGGTCATCTGGGGAGTGAAACACCAGAAGGAAGACCTCTCTCTCTGTCTTTCCCTCTCACTGTCTATACCTCTACCTCTCAAATAAATAAATAAATAAAATCTTAAAAAAATGCCATATACATTATTTCATGGCTCTCAAATAACAATATGACAATGCCATTTTTAATGATAAAGGCTGCCCAAAATGATCTTGCATCAATTTCCATTTTATTGGAAATTTCTAGAGAAATCTCTAGATCAGAACAAATACAGGAGTTAACACCTTTATTCTGGCTCATAGTTTTCTCATTAGCAATCCACACAACCATCTGCAGTAACAGCCCTACACAGAGTACAGCGTAACTGCCTCTTTTTTTCTCAAAGGGAACAGAGTTGAGGTTATGAGGTACAGACTGAGTATCCCTGATCTGAAATGCCTGGACCCAGAAGTGTTCTGGAGTCTTCTGATTTTAGAATACTTGTATAAACACATTGAAATATCTTAGGGATAGGCTTCAAGTCTCAACATGAAATCCATTTAAGTTTCATCTACAAGGGGTCATTAAAAAGTTCATAGAAAATAGATGAGAAAACTATGTGTGAATTTCAAAACTCTGTACCAAAACAAACAAAAAAAAAACTTATCATTCATTCCATTTTCCATGGTCTTTTGGAAGTACCCTTGTCTTACACACATGGTCTAAAAGGTAATTTTTATGATTTAAAGATTAATTTTATTTTTATCTGAAAGGCAGAGTGACACAGAGAGGGGGACAGAGAAAGAAGGATCTTCCATTCATGAGTTCACTCCCCAAATGGACGCAACAGCATCCAGGGGTTGGGCTAGGCCACAGCCAGGAGCCAGGAGCTTCATCTGGGTCTCCATGTGGGTGCAGGGGCTTTCAGCTGCTTTCCCGGGCACATTAACAGGGAGCTAGATTGGAAGTGGAACAGCCAGGACTTGAACTAGCACCCACATGGAATGCTGGCATCGCAGGTGGTGGCTTAACTTGCTATGCCTTAATGCCAGCCCCACAGTATGTTTAGTATGTACGCATTTTGATGTAACCCATCATGTGAAGTCCAGGGAAATTTTCCACTTGTGGCACCACATAAGCACTCAAAAATTTCTGGAGTTTGGAGCATTTTGGATTTCAGATTAGGAATACTCAATCTGTGATGGACAAAGCAACAGAAAATAGGAGTTCTAGCCCCAGCTCTTTCATCTTTTAGTAGGATAACCTGAGAGAAATCTTCATTTCAACAAATCTCTACATTTCCAGTTTCTAAAGAGTGGGTTGAATAAATGACCTCTTGGGTGCCACCTACAGCTCTCTAATTCTGCAATACAACCTCTCTTCTTTCATAAAGTATGTTACCAGAGCAAATTCTCTTGCACACAGTGAGAACTAAATGACTTCTGGTCTTTCAGACAGAAGCCACAAATTCTGTGGTATGGACACAGATTCTCGCATTTCTTCTCTTTTTTGCTGCTGTAATGCTAGGCCACAATGCTACAAACTGTGATCATTCATTTAACTGATATTTATTCAGCAACTAGAGTACACACCTATCACAGACTCAGCCAGCAACAGAATGGTAGTTTTCCTGGGCACCCAACTTCTGCCCTTCTCGCAAGACAAACTTCATGTTCCCTGGAATCTTACCGACCATGGGTACCAGTTCACTGATTAATAACATGATGACCATGCTGGAGGCAGTGTAACTTTCCTTGTTCTCTCTGTAACTATTAAGTCAAAATTTGGCACAAGTGATCAAGTTAAAATGACCATCTTTTAAATCGTGGGTGTGCAAATCCTGATCAATTTAGCCATAATCTGCTAAATAATTAATCAATTCAGTTATTCCAGGGCCAGGTATTACCAAGAGAAGGCAGATGGATGAATCCTTTTTTCTTCCACCTTAATACAGAGAAACCTAGAACTTACCTCCCCAAATGGCTGTATATTTCACTTTTGAAATGACAATGCTGAGTCATCATAAAAAGGTTAAATTTTACTCTGTATTCCTAGTTTAAGAAGGCAAAGACTGTCATAAAACAATTCAGAAAGATGGCTATCCAAAATTAAAAATAAGTAGGTTTCAGATGCTTGGACCAGCTACTTTTTGTGAAACACTATATTCTCTAATGAGGCTGAGCCAATTAGAAGCTAAATTCCTTTGGTCCATGGACTTTATCTTGTTCATCCCAGCAATTTCCACCAAGTAGAATGGTGTCTGGCACATTAACAGGTGCTTTAAAAAAATGTATTTCTCAAGTGATTGAATAAATGAAAAAAATGACTGAATGCCAGAAAAGTGAAACATTGCATGCTAGTCTCCTTGCATGGGAATATAGATACCATAACCGTGAGAGCATATTGTGTTCAGCACACATACCAAATGATGAAAACATTCTCATTCCAAAGACAAATTTGGGTTGGCAAACAAATTATAAGCAGGGTAAAGTAAAAATACACACCTCCACCCCAAGACTCCTGTGCCTAAATCACCAATTACAATTCTGCAAGCCTGTGTTACTTCAGCTCAATATCTTTTTCAAATATTGAGAAAAATGATTCACATGAATTTTGTAGCATGTGAAGGTAACTGTGGTTGATCAAGTCTATTATCTCTACTTCTTTTCATAAAAGAATCTAATTTGCACATTTACATAATAGAGGGTTGTACCTGTGAAAAGATTCACATACCATTCCCTTTTTTCGAGATTTTTTTTTTTTTAAAAACATATTCTTTTTTGTAACAAACTACCAAAGGTTAGTGAAATCCTTATTGTGTACAAAGAATTCTCAAATAACACTATCATTATACTCGAAGGTTCCTTAAAGATCATTTAGTAAGAACAGCTGCTCATCCTTCTGACCTACGATGAACTAAAATTAATAATCATTAATGATCAGCATGCCATGGAACCAAATTTAAATTTTTTAATGGAATTTTTCCAAACAAGATTTCATTTCAACAAGCTTCGATGCTAGAGGTGAACTAAATACTCTTGTAAAGACTAAAAACTAAGCACACGTGCTTACAAGCTCACCCAGCTAGTACTCAGTGCAACACATGAGGGAACAACTAACCTAGACCACATTTCACATCCAGTCTTAAATTATGACCCATCTCAGTAACGGCCTACCGCTCAGGGCTATGCATAAACAGTTCCTCTGGCAGGACCCCTCCAGGACACACTGTGCTTATGCACGTTTGCATCTTAGAGACAGGAACTAGTCTTAACACCTCAACCAAACAGTGTAACTGCTTTTCACAATCACCCAAAGGAAAATGCTTAATAATGATTTGTCTTGGGGCAGGCATTTGGCTCAGTGTCTAAGTCTAGCTTGGGATGTCCACATCCCACACACCAGAGTGCCTGGTTCAAGTCCTGGCAACTCCACTTCAAAGTCAGCTAACGCACACCCTGAGAAGCAATGGGTGATGGTTCAAGTAGTTGGGCACCAACACCTATGTAGGGAGACTGGGATTGAGTTCATGGCTCCTGGCTTAGGCCTGGCCCAACCCTGCCTGTTGCAAGCATTTAGGGAGCTAATTGGTGAACTGAGATATTGCATGTGCATGCTAGCTCTGTCTCTGTGTCAAATAAAATGGGGGAAAAAGTCTTTTTAAAAATGTTTCCTGTTTAATCATGCCATTATAGAAATAAATTGACTTCCTAGTTTAAGCAAAACAAAACACTGTTGGGTAATAAATATGAAAGCATTTGTTGCTATAAATCTGGCTTGAGCATTCTAACAAATTAAAAAACAGGGCCAACTTCAGCTCTGCACTTACACCTTGAAGTGCATATGCGCACACTGTGCACAAGGTCAGATGGAAACAAATGGAGTGTACCAGACAATTACTAAAAGGTTCAATATTTTGTCGCTGAGAATAAGTGAGTAGCAAGTCAAAATGTACTTATTATTCTGAACCAGGAAACCTGTCTACTATTTGAATTTATTTTAAATCTATTCCTCTTCCTCTAATTCAATGAGATGACAGAATCCAGGAAGAGGAAGGTACTTCCAGGATAAACTAGATGATCACCTTGGCCTTTACAGATGTGAGCCTGAGAGAATAAGGTACTCAGATTTAAGCCTTAAAAAAAAAAAAAAAAAAAAAGGCAGGTATTGAATGTCATGGAAAGGGGCACCTCCCTGATGTTCTCTCATTTGTCTAGAAACCTCTAACTCTTGAGTTTTTCCTGGGATGAAGCTGACTTGCCGGCTCCTTTTCTGCCTTCTGCACCATCTTCCGCTGTTTCTCACAGTTCCCTGAATTCCCAAAAGGTGTTCCTCACTGAAAACCACTTCCTAAGAGAGTAAGTAGCATCTGCGGACAGCTTCCAAAATCGTGCCTGCTAAGCAATCACAGGGCTTCAACAAGTGAACTTGAAAAAGAAAGTGTCGTTAAGGAAATGATCACGCAGAGACGGATTCTTAAAATTAACTCCCGATCAGAAAAGGGTCCACTCCAGTCCCGTATTTCCACAACTCAAAAGGCCGAAGACCAAGAGTGAATAAAGACGGAGATGGCAACAACGCAGGTCGGGTGACAGGAAACCGCAGCGGAGGCGTCGGGGGACAAACAGAAGTATTATTACACAGGCAGAAAGAAGTGTCTGGGTCACTTCCCAGCCTCCGGAGGTGCGCGATCCCGAACTCTCCTGCAGAGGCCAGACCGGCTCTTGGGGGGGAAAGAGGGACTGTGCCGTGGAACCGGGGCGAGCCCGCGCCCTGCCTCCTCCGTGGCCTCCCCGCCGCCCCCCGGAGCACCTGAGCCCCCCGTACCTGTGAGATAGTTGGTCCACTTGTACAGAACCCCCTCCATGCTTCAGAGCCCGGCACCGCGCATCCTCCTGGCCCGGCTCCGGCCGCGGGGATGGGGTGGGCGCACAGCCCGGGGCCGCCCCTCCCGGGACCCCTCCCCGGCCGCCCCCCGGGCCGCGCTACGCCGCCCGGACGTGGCAGCCCTTAGAGGCCAGGACAGCGGGCGCCGCGAGGAGCTGGGGGGCCGCGACGCGCGGGCTCAGACATCCCTGCGCAAGCCTCGGCGGCCGCGGCCGCCGCACCGACAAAAACGCGACCGCAGCCGGCCTCCCGCCCGCGCTTCCTCGCCCCGGCGCTTCCTTCCCCCCCGGGCTCCCCGTTTGTTTTCATTGACCCCGACGTCGCTTTCACTTCCTGGATGAAAGGGGCCGGCTCGTCCCGGGAAACCCCACCCCGGCGGCGGGGTTGGAGGGGCGGGCGCGGCCTGGGGCCCCGCCGCCGGGCCTGAGGCTGCGCGAGGAGGGCGGCGCGGCCTGCCGGCGGGGCCGCTTCACTCCGCCCCGGCCCGCCTCGGGAGCCGCCACTCAGGCCTCTCCGGTTTCCCTGTTACCAAGCCTCGGGCCTTTCGCCGATTTTTTTTTTTTCTTCTAAGTAAATAAATGAAAGGCTTCCCATTTCTGCCTCCTCAGTATGTTCCTCACAGGCAGATGCGGCTGTTGCGGACCTACTGGGATGGTCATGACGCCGGCAACTCCCCTTGGAGAGCCACAATTGTGTTTATAGAACAAGAAAATTAGGAGTTTTATTCTAAAAATGAGGACTTCCCCCTAGCTTTTATGGATTTTTGTGTGTGTGGGGGGGGTTATCCTTTAGGAGAGCATCACCTTATATAATTGACATTAGTCTTCAGATACATGGAATTTTGCAGACTTTATTAAGCAAAGCACGTAAAGCAGGCCCAGTGCCATGGCTTTTCTTGGCATCACTGAGGCAGAAGAACACCTCCCTTCCCAGAACCTAAACCGGGCTAATATGAAAGTGTTCTGGTTTGGGTGAAGTCTGTATGCTCACTTAGAAATAAAAGGAATTGAAGGGTGGGTAGATGAGCAAGTAATAAACCGAATATAGTTGTGTTGATAGAATCTAGGTGGTGGCTATAAGGGTGCTCACTATAAAAGTCAACTTTTCAGTATGAAAGGTTTGCACTAAAATGGGAGTGAGTTTTGTCAGATTGGGCCCAATCCCTCTGCCTATTGCCTGGAAGACTGGAACAAAATGCCTAATACTCCAGGCAGGCAATTGGCATAGCGTTAACCTACAGCTTGGGACAGCAGCAGCCCAGACGGAAGTGGCTGGGTTACAGTTCCAGTTCTGATTCCGGCTTCCTGGCACCCTGGGAACCAGCAGGTGATGACTCAAGTTCTTGGGTCCCTGCCGCACTTACAGAAGACGAGGATTAACTTCTGGCTGAGGCCTGGCACAGCCCTGGCTATTTCAGGAATTTGGGGAGTAAACCAGCAGATGGAAGATGTTCCTTTGCCTTTCAAAAAAATTTTTTTTGAATGCCCAACACTCGGGTTTCCTCCTTTCCTGGTCTGATGTGAACAAATTGGGATCTCTGGAATTATCAAGAAAACCTAAGAGCTTTCACACTGCTAGCAGCCCTCAAATCAGGAGCGGCCCCAAGTGGTGGGGGAAAGAAATGCAAGCCGGCAGCGAGTCCAGAAGCCACAGAAACCCTTCAGCGAGCCTGGGAAATGTGGCACCGCTGCTTCATAGAACCTTGGTGGCCCTGTTTGTGCATGACCCAGCCTGGCACCCCAGAATGCAGAACTGAGGCCCCAAGAAAGAGCTTCAAGAATACACCAGAAGCATGCAGATAGCCACCTAGAGTCTTTTTTTTTTTTTGAAATTAGAGAGAAACTCTTCCATCTGCTAGTTCACTCCCCAAAAAGGCCGCAAGGGCAAGGGCTGGGCCAGAACGAAGCCAGATCTGCCCCGTGGGAGGCAGGGGACCAAGAACTTGGCAGGAAGCCGAGTGCCCGGGGCCTCAACAGGTGCTCTGAAAGGAGAGGCCACGGAGGCCTCAGGACGCCGGCCTCCACGTCTATTTTTTAACTTTCTTAATGCCCTTCTTCCAGAATCCCCCTTCCTGCTAGTCCTTCACCAGCCTTAGTCTTTAGGGCCCAGAAATGACCACCGCTGTCTCAGAGTCTACCTCCCAGCCCAGATGGTTTATTTCATTTTACCAGTTTTGTTATGGGGAAGGAAACCGTTGACACCATGCCCTGAAGAAACCACCTGTGAAATACGCGGTTTCGCGAGCAGAAACTTGAGAGACAGCCCCCCGCCCACGCCACCACCACTGGGGTACAAGCCCCCACTGCCGGAACCGCGAAACGCTCGCCAGGGAAGGAGCTGGGCGGGGCCGCGCCGGCGGAGGGGCGTGGCCGCGCGCTGGAGGAGGCGGGGCGTGGGCCGGTCCTTTTGTGACGTGGGACAATGCCTGCCACGCGTCGGAACTAGGCCTCCGGTGCAGCCGCGGGCCACGAGCGACACGGCGGAGGCAGCGCGGAGGTCTCTGGGGCCGACTCCGGAACCATGCGTGACTTGTTCAGATTAGCCGTTTTCTTTTGTCTGTGGAGCTTTTCCACTGCTCAGGGGCAAAAGAAAGAGGAGAGCACAGAGGATGTGAAAATAGAAGTTTTGCATCGTCCAGAAAACTGTTCTAAGACAAGCAAGAAGGGAGACCTGCTAAATGCCCATTATGATGGCTACTTGGCTAAAGACGGCTCAAAATTCTACTGCAGGTAGGACATGCTGTCAGCTGACACACGAAACCTTGCCTCCCTCCCCCAACCAGAAGCCTAATTGGTTGGTTTTATTCGTTGGTTTGATTTTAACAGTTGAGTTTTTTCATAGGAAAATGATCAGACTAGATAGTAGTAGTTCCCCGATAAACTGAATGTTAGGTTTTTCAATTACTAAAAATATTGGCCCAAGAAAGTATCAAAAATACGCTGCAGCGTTCACGACCCAACCACCACAACTATGCTTGGGACCTCTAGAACTAAATGAAGGCACTGCCTCTAAGGATGTGCACATTTTTCCTTTGCCTGGAGTCTGAGTATCTTTACAGAGGACTAACAGGATAAAGAGATTTTTATTCTGGCTTTTGGAAGCATGATTTAGGCTGGGGGCCCCTTCCTGTACCAAGAGGCCACTACTAGAGTGACGTCCCCATGACTTCTGCTGTCTCCTGTCTCCTGCTGCCTGCTCTGATTTAATTGATGGCATGTTACTCAGGAAAAATGTCTTTTCTTCATCTGTACAATTACCTTATAAAGATAGGGTTGGGGAAAGTTCGTTCTTCCCATTTAGAAGAAAATAGGCACATTTAATAAGACTTTAAGTTACCATTAAAATGACATGTTTTTAGGCTAGCCCTGCCCCATCATTTTTAAGAACAAACCCCAAGGAGTTAAATCAGTTATTTGTGCAATCCATGCAGCTAGATAGGGGCTGGAGATTCATTTAAAAGGCAACTGTTGAACAGTTTTTGTAAAGATGACAATATAAAAGAAAAGGAAATGACTCCTAATGACTAGCTTTTGGCAAACTGTACCTCTTTCTGGCAATTATAGGGAAGTTTGAGCCAATCAGCTTACCAGGGGATCCAGAAAGATGGCTAATACAGGCAAAGGGACGGCTACAGAAGAGTCCAAGTTTGTTCTAAATGCCTCACTGTATTTTAAAGTTTGATATCTTTACCTAAGTGTTATTTTGTATTATAGCCGGACACAAAATGAAGGCCACCCCAAATGGTTTGTTCTTGGTGTTGGGCAAGTCATTAAAGGCCTAGACATTGCTATGATGGATATGTGCCCTGGAGAGAAGAGGAAAGTGATTATACCCCCTTCTTTTGCATATGGAAAGGAAGGCTATGGTAAGGTGTTTATTTTTTTTCCTCTTTTTAGTTATATTTAAAAGTAAATCTTGGCCGGTGCAGCGGCTCAACAGGCTAATCCTCCGCCTAGAGGCGCGGCGCCGGCACACCGGGTTCTAGTCCCGGTCGGGGCGCCGGATTCTGTCCCAGTTGCCCCTCTTCCAGGCCAGCTCTCTGCTGTGGCCCGGGAGTACAGTGGAGGATGGCCCAAGTGCTTGGGTCCTACACCCCATGGGAGACCAGGAGAAGCACCTGGCTCCTGCCTTCGGATCAGCGCAGTGCGCCGGCCACAGCGCACCAGCCGTGGTGGCCATTGGAGGGTGAACCAATGGCAAAGGAAGACCTTTCTCTCTGTCTCTCTCTCTCACTGTCCACTCTGCCTGTAAAAAAAAAAAAAAAGTGAATCTTAGATTGCTGGGTATGTATCCAGAAAACTGAAAGTACGGTCTTGAAGAGATATTTGTACATCCATGTTTATAGTTACCTTATTCACAATAGCCAAACAGTGGAAGGAACCTATGTGTTCATTGACATGATTGCATAAGTAAAACATAGTGTATTCATAAAATGGAATACTGCTCAGCCTTAAAAAGGAAGGAAATCCTAACGTGCTACAACGTGGAGGAACCTTGATGTTTTGCGAAGTGGAATAGGTTAGTCACAAAAGGACAAACAGTACCCAAGTGCACTTATATGAGGTGCCTATAATAGTCAAATTCCTAGGGTCATAAAGAAGAGAAGTGATTGCCAAGGTCAAGGAAGGGATAAATATGGAGGGGTTTGCTCAGGGGCCTTAGAGCGTCCATTTTGCAAGATGAAGAGTTCTGGTGATTGATAACATAGTATTGTTAATGTATTCTACATTATTAAACAGTACACCTAAAATGGTTAAGATGGTTAATTTCATATTACATTACTTTACCAAAGAAATCATTCACAAAAATAAACAATAATCACAACAGAAAATAATCATGGAACTATGGAACCCAACAAACTTTAGCCATATCTAGTTCAATCCAGTCTTTTACTTATTAAGAAAATAAGATTTTTTTTTTGAATACAGATTTCTGGCCAGAGTTCTTACCTTTATAGTAGCAACACCCAAAATTATTATGCATGGTCTGTTCTATCTTGAACATCTTTTGTTCTAGTGCATTATTATCACATAAATATTTATAGCACACATCTCTGTAAGCAGTACCAAAGTTACATTCATAAATCCCAGAAAACTCAAACATATGATTTTAGTAAAAAGGAAGCTCTGGAACATTGTAAAAGGAACATCTGGGAGCTAATAAGCTGTCAGTCACTGTTACCCCAGTACAGGACAAGCCTTAAAACGTGGAAGAAATGAATTTAGTCTTTTAATAGCTTGCCTATTTTTAAAATCATAGAGCAGGAAGATTTGAAAATCTAGAGATGCAGATAAATGGGTGAAAATGTTTTCAACACATATAAATACTTACTAACCAATAATAAAAATAACCTATCTCTAGAAATGAACCAAGTTTATAAACAAGTATCCTCTAGTAAATACCTGTAGCCTATAAATCTGAGAATATTAATTTTGTTCATAAAGAGAAATTAAAACAAAAATGAGATACCACTCTCATCAGATTAGCAAAGATGAAAAAGGTGTCAAAGACATAGGGAAAAAAGCAGTCTCATGCATTACTTCTGGGCATATAAATCATTCTCTCTAATAACTTCTTTTTTAGTTTTTTAAGTTAATACGAAGAGATTTCATGCATTCCATAGACACAGTTCCAAGGCAACAACCATATTCCCCTCACTTCCGCCCATCCCCCTCCCTCTCTCCCCTCTCTTCATCAGTTTTTGCAAAGACATAATTTTAATCCACTCTAAGCATGGGCTCAATTCACCACTAACCATAATATGCAACAAGTAAAAAGCAGGAAGACCACAGTTCCACAAGAGTATAAACAAGGGCTAAAAATGACAATCTTTCTAATCATTTCTATCCAAAGTGAAAATGCTACTGACCAAGTCCCTTGAATTCTAGGAATGTGCATAAAGGTATATGTAAAAGAGCATTCATTACAACAACAAAAATATTTCTTTGTTCTTGGGTCAAAAAGACTGGAAAGTACCTGAATATCCACCACAAAGAAGTTAGTTAAATAAATTAAGGTATCTCCTTACAATGGATTACCATGTACCCAGTAAAAAGAATGAAGTAGAGGCATCCATCTTACTATGTTAAGAATGAAGTAAGATAGCTATATCCCAGGAATGAATATTTCTTGATCATCAGGGCTGGGCATTTGGTATACAGCAGTGACACTGCTGCCATTCCTAGATGAACTTGCTTTACAGATGGGGAATTTCACATACAGGTGTACCTACACAGAAAACCTCAGTCATCTGATGATAAGTACTTCTGGGAACGAGGCCTCGACGTCAAGAATGAGAAGATTTCTTTGGAGTCTTGTATTTTGTACTACCAGTTTTTTATTATGTACACGTATTTTTCCAAAATTAAAATGTAAAAGTAGTACTAAGAGTAGTACTACAATTAAGTGTTGCAGATAGGAAGGAAATTTTTTTATAAGATTTTATTTATTTATTTGAGAGGGAGAGTTACAGAGAGAGGGAGAGAGACAGAGAAAGGTCTTCCATCCACTGGTTCACTCCCCAGATGGCTGCAAGGGCCAGAGCTGTGCCGATTTGAAGACAGGAGCCAGGAGCTTCTTCTAGGTCTCCTAAGCAGGTGCAGGGGCCCAAGGACTTGGGCCATCTTCTACTGCTTTCCCAGGCCATAGCAGAAAGCTGGATTGGAAAAGGTGCAGCTAGGACATGAACCGGCGCCTGTATGGGATGCTGGCACCACAAGCAGAGGCTTAGCCTACTACAGCACAGTGCCAGCCCGAAAGGGAATTTTTAAGGGAAGGAAGTGATGGGCAGCCTTGGCAGAGGGACAGACTATGTTTCATCCTCAAGACCTTGTTCCCCATTGCTGTGTGAAGCTATGCAGAAAACATCTTCACCTTTTCACTGTATTTCATAAGGGCCCCTGCTATCTCCACCTACTTGAAATGTTTAGTTTATTATTCATGATAAATTTACTAGAATGAGATTTTGGCATTACTCCTAAATATTTCATGAAAACAATATACCTTCTTTGAAGCTGTTGCATTAATCATTTAAAATAGTGATTCATTTTTATTCTTTCTATAAGAGCAGAGAATCATTGCTCAAATTGGACTGATGTAGAATCAGTGCTCCAAGTCAGGCCCAACAGGATTAAAACTCATAAAGAAATGGTTCCAGATAACTACAGCTTCATTTTTTAATCCTTTTTCGAATCATTTGGCCATATTAAAATAGCTCCCAGACCATAATTTGTAGATCTTGTTGTCTGTAGAAAAAAAACTTGAAGGTAAATACAGCAATTGAGGCCAGCATCACAGCGTAGCTGGTTGAGCTGCTGCCTGTAATGCTGGCATCCCATATGGACGCTGGTTCAATTCCTGGCTGCTCTACTTCCTATCCAGCCCCCTGCTAAAGCACCTGAGAAAGCAACAGAAGATGGCCCAAGTGCTTGGGCCCTCGCACCCACATGGGAGACTCAGAAGAAGGTCTTGGCTCCTAGATTCAGCCTCGCCCAGCCCCGGACACTGCAGCCATCTCAGGAGTAAACCAGCAGATGGAAGATCTCTCTCTGTCCCTCCACCTCCCTAACTCTTTCAAATAAAAATAGATCTTTTTTGTTAACCTAGAAACCTTTTATTTAAGGTATACAGGCTTCATGTATTTCATATATACAAATTTAGTAACATAGTGATTCTTTCCACCCTAGCCTCCCTCCTGCCTGCTCTCCCACCCTTCTTCCTCTTTCCTCTCCTATACCCAATCTTATTTTTTTACTAAGATCTATTTTCAATTAACTTTATACTCATAAGAATAACCCTACACTAAGTAAAGAGTTCAACAAATAGTATGAAAAAAATAAACTAAGTAAATCTTTAAAATAAATGGTAGTAATTGTCCTAAAATGTTATCATAAGTTAAAGCTACTTCTAGGCAAAATAATGTAGGCCAAGTTTGCCATTCATCTCTTTAATCTCTTTTTGAGCATTTCCATTCTGTGTTGTCTCATCCCATGCCTCACATTCCACCACCACAGCACCTAGTTATCTCTGTCTAGCGGACCCACATTCCTCAATAGGTTCATGATCCAAAGGCTAATGATCGCTTAGTTCATCTTCTTCATAAACTAATTTGTGCTCAGATATGAAAGACCATTGCTAAACTAACTGGACCCTGGCAAGAGCACCGTACAAGTTTGACTTCTGGACCAGCATTGTGAGTGAAGCAGGAAAAGCCGCAACCTTTGAAATCAGCATCCCATATGGGCACTGGTTCATGTCCAGGCTGCTCTACTTCAAATTCAGCTCCCTGCTAATGGCCTGGGAAAAGCAGTGGAAGATAGCCCAAGTGTTTGGGCCCCTGCCACTGACGTGGGAAACCAGGATGAAGCTCCTGGCTCCTAGCTTCAGCCTGACCCTGTTCTGGCATTGCAGTAATTGGGGGAGTGAATCAACAGATGGAAGATTCTCTCTCTCTTTCTCTCTATATAACTGACTTTAAAATTTAAAAAAAGAAGAAGAAAACGAAGTTTGACTTCAAGAAGTTAATTCATGGTTTTTAAATTTTTTTTTTTTAATTTGAAAAGTAGAGAGACACAGAAAGATACAGTAACAGATAGATCTTCCATCCACTGGTTCAACTCCTCAAATGTCCAAAACAGCTGGGGCTTGGCCAAGCTAAACTTGGAAGACCCAAACTCAGCCCACAAACTCACACATGGGTGGCAGACCCAACTATTTAAACCATCACATGCTGCCTCCCAGAGTATGCCCAAGCAGAAAACTAGAATAGAAAGCCAATCAGGGACTCAAACCTAGGTACTCTGATACAAATATAGGCATCCCAAGAGGCATCTTAACTACTGTGCCAAAGGCCTGCCCATATTCAATCTGAAGTATCTCCAATTTTACACATAAGGAAACAGGCCTAAACATTGTGTTTACTGGAACATAGTTAACTGCCAGCCTTACATGTATTACAGTAGCTTGGGTAGATTATTTTAAAAGTTGCAATATAGACTGCAAGTAACTGTTTAACAAATTCTTGATTAAACAAGTTTTTAAAAGTAAGCTGTCTATAACTCTATTATTTTAGGTAGTACTTGAAGAAGTCTTTCTTCTGCGCCATGTCCTTGATTCATGTCAGAGCACCTCTGCATGTCTTGAAATGCATGTCACTTTTTAGTGCTTTAATTAACGATGTATGTGGTATGTACAGATTCTTTATATTAACTCCTATTTCTTTGCTCTGCTTCTCTAAATATAAGTAATTCTATAGCAAATGTATATTTTTCTCTTTCTTATACTTCATTTGCAAGAAAAAGAACTGGCAGTATTTTTCTATATATAAAGAAGTTTTCAGAAACTTCATATATACTGATAAATTTCTTATGAAATTTAAATGTCTTTATTGTCAAAAGTTGTTGTTCTGTCACCAAGAGCTCATAACTGGACAGAATAGGAATGAGTTTTGTGCAATGATTATTGAATTTCTAGCTCTTTTACTCTCAGATAAGGTAATATGTGGTGCACTGGGGGTGGGACTTTCACATTAGAAATATGATGTCTGGTGGCTTTTCCCATGTCCTGGCTTGTAAATTACTGATCCACTTCTTTTGCTTGTATCTTACAAACTCTTTTCTCTTTGGATTATATAAATATTTGGCAAGAATTCTGCACTTTCATTTTCAAAAACTACTATTTCTTTCTTTTTTTTTTTTTAAGCATTTTTTTTAATTTTTTTATTTTTTTTATTTTTGACAGGCAGAGTGGACAGTGAGAGAGAGAGACAGAGAGAAAGGTCTTCCTTTGCCGTTGGTTCACCCTCCAATGGCCGCCGCTGCAGCCGGCGCACCGCGCTGATCCGATGGCAGGAGCCAGGAGCCAGGTGCTTTTCCTGGTCTCCCATGGGGTGCAGGGCCCAAGCACCTGGGCCATCCTCCACTGCACTCCCTGGCCATAGCAGAGAGCTGGCCTGGAAGAGGGGCAACCGGGACAGAATCCGGCGCCCTGACCGGGACTAGAACCCGGTGTGCCAGTGCCGCAAGGTGGAGGATTAGCCTATTGAGCCACGGCGCCGGCCCAAAAACTACTATTTCTTTCAAAGGACAGTTTTAAAATAAACACCAGGGCTCATTCATTCAGCAATATCTGAGTGCTTATAACAGGTCAAGCACCATGTGAGGCCTGGGAGTATACTGGTGATGTTGCTTCCCACTGCCTCTCAGCAAGTCATTTCTGCAGGGCAATTTTATGAAATTCTTACTTACAAAATAGCCCAGACTCACCTAAATGATCTGTGACATCAGCTAATAGGTTAACTTTATTCAAAGAAAACTATCTAACTTAATACATAAAAATTTTTTGTGATTAAAAATTCTTTGTAAAATTGTTATTGAATTTTTCTGTTACTGCAATTATTTTTAATCTTTGTAAAGGTCAAAAATACTGGAGCTTGTCTTTTATTTCTACTGCCAATAACATAAAACCACTTTCTGGAAATGACCTGAACTTTCAGTCATTAAATGCTTTGAAACATTTCTGCCCGTGCATTTTTTTTCTTTTTTTTTTTTGGCACCATCTCTGTCCTATATAAAAATAGGCGCATATTAATTTTAAAAAAAAAGTGATCTTAATTTTTACCAGAATAGTGGTTTTATACATCTTTTGAACTAACTTGGTTTAAAAACATATGAAATGGGCCAGCACTGTGGCACAGCAGGTTAAGTCACCACCTACTGTGCAGTCATCCCATATGGGCGCCAATTCAAGTCCTGGCTGCTCCACTTCCAATCCAGCTCCCTGCTAATGCACCTAGGAAAGCAGTAAATATGGCCTGAGTGCTTGGGCCCCTGCAACCACGTTTCAGACCCGGAAGAAGCTCCAGGCTCCTGGCTTCAGCCTGGACCAGCCCCAGTTGTTGTGGCCATTTGAGGAGTTAGCCAGTGGATGCAAGATCTCTTTCTTTCTAACTCTGAAATAAATAATAAAATAAGTCTTTAAAAATATGAAAAAAATTTGTAAAAAGTATAAGGAAAAAATTTCTAGGGGGCCAGCACTGTGGTATAGTGGGTAAAGCCTCTGCCTTCAATGTTGGCATCCTGTATATGGCCGCCAGTTCGTGTCCCAGCTGCTCCTCTTCTAATCTAGCTCCCTGCTAATGTCCTGGGGAAAGCAGTGGAAGATGGCCCACATGTGTGGGGCCCTGCCACCCATGTGAGAAACCTGGATGAAGCTCCTAGCTTTAGCCTGGTCCAGCCCGCTGTTAAGGCCACCTGGGGAGTGACCCAGTGTGTGAAAGATCTCTCTCTCTCTCTGTCTCTCCATCTCTCTGTCTGTGTAACTCTTTCAAACAAATAAATAAATCTTTAAAAAAAGAATTTTAAGAAAAAAAACAGTAGAAAGCAATTCTTATAAATATGAAATAATACAATTATGTCATCATGGCTGTTCATTAATAAAATTTGAACCAAATCTTCATGTAACTTAAACAGTTAAATGTTGTCCCTCTAATAGAAGGCAAGATCCCACCTGATGCAACATTGATCTTTGAGATTGAACTTTATGCTGTGACCAAAGGACCACGGAGCATTGAAACATTTAAGCAGGTGGACACAGACAATGACCGACAACTCTCGAGAATTGAGGTAATTCAAATACATTCCATGTGTACAGTCTAATTTTTTCATCACAATTTATATGTGTTACAACTGTTATTTTTTAGTTCTAGCTAGCATGGATCCTGATCACTGCTTTTATAGAGCTGATTACTAAAGAAAAAAAAGTAAACTCTGAGAAGAAAATTGTCTTCTTAATATAAAACTTGTGAGTCATTTTGTTCAATTACTTTTTGCCCTACAAGAGGGTCATTAAAATCTCCAAGTGCTCATGTCTACAGGGCTCTTCCAGTTTCTGGACAGCAGAAGTAGATCTCTTTTTCATGTAGCACTGTGAGGAGAATCTGTAATCACATATAACTTCCATCCCATAGATCTGTGAGGATTACACGAGACGATGAAAAGAGCTAGCGGGAATCTGAATTGTGTGGGCTACACAGCTGGTAAAAAGGAGCCAGCCATTCAGCCGCCTCGCTCCTGTATCTGTCTTATATATGAATTGAGGGATTAATTAAGATTTTGTAACAATAAAAATAACATTGTTTTTTCACTTTCTCAATACCAGGTACTATTGTAAGCACATAAGTATAAGAGTACTTCAAACAGTTCATGGAAAATGGAATTAAAAGATACATTTAGGGGCAGGAGTTTGGTGCAGTGGTTAATAAGCTGCTTGAGACACTGAGGTCTCATATCAGAGTGGACCCAAGTCTCAGCCTTCTGAGAATCCAGGTGCCTGCTCATGTGCACTCTGGGAAGCAGCAGGTAGCAACCCAAGTACTTAAGTCTCTACCACCCATGTGGGAGACCTGGATTGAATTCCAGCTCCTAGCTTACTTAGACTTCAGCCTAGTCCACCTCCAGCTGTTGTAGCTATTTGGGTGGTAAACTAGTAGATGAAAGATCTCTCTCTGTTTCTGCCTTTCAAATAAATAAAAATGAAAAAATATTTTTTTTAAAAAAAGGCAAATTTATTTTGGTGCAAAAAAAATTATCCATGCATAGTTTTTCCATAATATATTTTCCATGAAGTTTTTGAGAAACCCTCTTATGTATGAATTTCAACATGCTTTGTACTAAAATAAACTTATCTTGTTTTTTAAGAACTACTATCTTTTTTTTTCCTTTTTTTTGTTGTTTTTGTTTTTGTTTTAAGATTTATTTATTTGAAAGAGTCACAGTGAGAGAAAGGGGGAGACATAGAGAGAAATCTTCCATCCGCTGGTTCACTTCCCAGATGGCCACAGCAGCCAGGACTGGGCCAAGGCCAAAGCCAAGAGCCAGCAACTTCTTCTAGTTCTTCCACATGGGTGCAGGGGCCCAAGCTGTTGCGCCATCTTCAGTTGCTTTTCCCAGGCCTTTAGCAGGGAGCTGGATTGGAAGTGGAGTAACCAGGATATGAACAGGTGCCGATATGGGATGTGTGCATGGCAGGTGGCAGCTTTACCTGCCATTCCTCAGTGCCAGCCCCTAAACTTATGTTTTAACTCCACATTCTATCAACTTTTTGAAGGTCCTCTCATGTGAGCTTGTCTAATTTTCATGACAGCTTACGGTGTTATGGGCATCACCTCTACTCTAGAAATGGGGAAAAGGATGCTTAAACATAGTAAGTAGTCAAAACTCACACCATGGTGAACGGCCAAACCAGGACTGCAAGCTGGGCAGTCTGGCTGCACTGCTGTACTCTTTTAACCCTGCACATTCACTGCCTCTTTCAGGCGATCTCTCTCCTTAATGTTTCAGGGCAAATGCTTGTTTTATTGAAGTCACAAGCCTTACTCAGTCCCTACTCTCACTTAAAATGAGTAACCCAGTCGTCCCCCCTCCTCTTTGGTTGCAGTTCAAAATACATAACTCTGTCACCTAAGTAAGTAGGAAAGGCAAGTGTGATAATTTCAAATGATAAGAGTAAGTCCTAGGGCCAGCGCTGTGGTGCAGCAGGTTAATGCTCTGGCCTGAAGTGCTGGCATCCCATATGGGCACCTGTTCTAGTTCCGGCTGCTCCTCTTCCGATTCAGCTCTCTGCTATGGCCTGAGAAAGCAGTAGAAGATGGCCCAAGTCGTTGGGCCCCTGCACCCACATGGAAGACCCAGAAGAAGCTCCTGGCTCCTGGCTTTAGATCGGCACAGCTCCAGCCGTTGCAGCCATCTGGGGAGTGAACCAGTGGATGGAAGACCTCTCTCTCTGTCTCTACCTCTCTCTGTAACTCTGTCTTTCAAATAAATAAAATCTTTTTTCTTTTTTTCTGACAGGCAGAGTAGACAGTGAGAAAGAGAGACAGAGAGAAAGGTCTTCCTTCGCCATTGGTTCACCCTCCAATGGCCGCTGCGGCCGGTGCACCACGCTGATCCAAAGGCCAGGTGCTTCTCCTGGTCAAGTACTTGGCCCATCCTCCACTGCACTCCCTGGCCACAGCAGAGAGCTGGCCTGGAAGAGGGGCAACCAGGACAGAATCCAGCGCCCCGACCGGGACTAGAACTCGGGGTGCCAGTGCCGCAAGGCGGAGGATTAGCCTATTGAGCTGCGGCACCAGCCCAAAATAAATCTTTAAAAAAAAAAAAAGAGTAAGTCCTATGGGGCTGGCATTATGGCATAATGGGTTAAGCCACTGCCTGCAAAGCCAGCATCCCATATGGTCACGAGTCCAAGTCCTGGCTGCTACACTTCCAATTTAGCTCCCTGCTAATGTGCCTGGGAAAGCAGCAGATGATGGCCCAAGAGCTTGGGCTTCTGTACCCTTGTGGGAGACCCAGATGAAGTTCTTGGCTCCTGGCTTCAGCCTGGCCCAGCCCTGGCCATTGCAGCTATTTGGGGAGTGAACCAACAGATAAAATCTCTCTCTCTCCTTCTCTCTCTATAACTCTGCTTTTCAAATAAATAAAAATAAATTTTAAAAAAATCAATCCTTTTTCTGTATTCATACTGAAAATCAAGATGAAGCAAGCTTTTTCCCTTCTACTCCATGGTGTCCTTTTCCTTTGCTTCCATATCTTCCTCCTCACTAATGCTTTCTCCACCCAACTCAACTTCCCACTCTAGGACATTAGTAAGGATTTTCCCCTGAAGAACCTTGTTGGTTAACAAGGCAAGATCATCTGTTCCTAAGAAGAAGTGCTGTTGAGAGGACAACTGTCCTTGTAACTCTCTTTAAACAGCAACTGTAGATGAACTTACACAGTGTTCAAAGGGCTCAGCCTGTAACACAGTCCATTCAATCTCACAGATACATCCAGAGGCATGTACTGCAGTACAGTATACATGTGCCTCAGTGGATGTTAGGGGGTCTTCAATTCTTTTTTGGAAACTAAAGATACAGAAATTCAAAACTAGGGACCTGATAAGCCACAATTTCCTGAGATATCTATCAGGTATAGCTGCATTATCACCAGGTGGAGAGGAGTGACTTCCACAGTCAACACCATAACATTACTCTAATCTGGACATCAATCCTACAATGTAGATACTTACTTCCCTCCTTTTACAGATGACAAAACTGAGGTTCAAAGAGGTTAAGTTATTTGTCTAAGCACACATGTCAAAGCTTGGACTTGAAACATGAACTCAACAAAATTATTTCCTTGATTATCAAGAAGCTTTAGTAAATTATTTCTTCAGTATAATGAAGGTAGGTTGGGAGGGATACAATATTTTATTATAATATATATAATATTTATTATAACATAATATTTATTACATTATTTATAATATTTCATTTCTAAGGAATAGTATGAAACACATTACTAGCAAAATTAAGTTCATGTTTTTTCCCACTGCCTATTTGTATTTTTGTGCTACAGTAGACTGGAAAAGGAAAGATTTGGAGCATTAGCAATATAAGTTATGAATAGAAAAATCCACTTACTTTGAAACTGAGTAATATGAATCTTTACATCGGAGTGCTTTGTCTCCGTTGGAAGAAAAACTGCACCACCACCACACCCCCCTCATGTAGGACCAGAGTCCCACTTGAGAATAATTGATACGTCCTTCATTAAGGTCCACTCATTGTTCTAACATGTAGTCTACTCATAATGAGTTTGAGATGTATATGCCTTGAAACCTCTCAGGATCCAACTCTTGCTTTCAAAAATACTGTTTTGTTTTTTTTTTGAGATTCATTTATTTATTTGAAAGGTAGAGTGACATAAAAAAAAGACAAAGATCTTTCATCTACTGGTTCACTCCTCAGTGGCAACAATGGCTGGGGCTGGGCCAGGCCAAAGCCAAGAGCCTAGAACTCCATCCAGTTCTCCCACATGGGTGGCAGGGGCCCAAGTACTTGTATTTATCATCCTCTGCTTTCCAAGGCATATTATCAGGGAGCTGCAATAGAAGCAAAACAGCCGGGACTCAAATTGGCAGCACTCAGAGAAGGGATGTGTGTATCACAGGCAGAAGCTTAGCCTACTGTTCCACAATACTGGCCCGCAAAAATACTCTTGGGGCAGGCATTGTATGTATGTAGCACTGCAGGTCAAGCTGCAGATCATGTTAGAGTGATGACTGGAGTCCCTGCTGCTTATCCTTCCTTCCCATCCGGCTTCCTACTTGTGTACTTGGGAAGGCAGAAGAAGATGCCCAAGTACTTAGACCCATGGCACCCATATGGGAGACCAGGTTGGAGTTCCTGGCTCCTGGCTTCATCCCAGCTCAGCTTGGAACTAAACCAGCAGATGTAAGATCTCTCTCTTTCTCTCCCTCCAGTGTTCTATTTATTTCAAATAAATAAATACATCTTTTAAAAAATAAAAAAATTACTGAACATTATCTCCAAATCATTGTGTATTGCTTTCTTTAGTTATTATATAGATTAACACTTTGCAATGGAATTGTAATTAAGTCACATTTATAAAATTCAATTTTTATAGTAGCCATATGTTGAAAAGTAAAAAAGAGCAGGCTGGCCTTGTGGCGTAGCAGGTAAAGCCGCTGTCTGCAATGCCAGCATCCCATATGGGCGCCGGTTCGAGTCCCGGCTGCTCCTCTTCCAGTCCAGCTCTCTGCTATGGCCTGGGAAAGCAGCAGAAGATGGCCCAAGTCCTTGGGTCCCTGCACCCACTTGGGAGACCTGGAGGAAGCTCCTGGCTCCTGGCTTCAAATTGGCACAGGCAGCTCTGACCATTGCAGCCAATTGGGGAGTGAACCAGTGGATGGAAGATCTCTCTTTCTTTACCTCTCCTTCTCTCTCTGTGTAACTCTGACTTTCAAGTAAGTAAATAAATAAATCTTTAAATAAAAAAAGTAAAAAAGAGATAGGTCAAATTAATTTTAATGATATATCTTATTATATCTAAAATATTACCATATCAACATGAAATCAATAGAAAAATTATCAATGTGATACAATTTTTAATTAAGTCTTCAAAATTTTATATAATTTACATTTATAATAACATTTCTCACTTTGCTGTAGCCACAATTCAAGTACTCAGTAGTCACATGTGTCTAGTGCTTACCATATTGGACAATGCTTTTAATGCGTGTTTACATAGAGACATTTAATATTATATATGTAAACAGAATACTTCAGAGTATTCCTTCTTTGAAATTGTTATAAGAGAAATTGTCATTTATATAGGTTTGGGAGGAGAACTACAGAAGCATAGAAAAATTAAAGTTATATTTTCTTTCAAAAACTCATGGTTGGGCTTTATTGATTATACAATGTAATCATTAATTGTAGGGATTATAGAAATGTCAATCTGCATTTATTCACTAATGGAAATCATTAAAAGTTAGTTTTCTTTGATAATGTGGACAGTGAAAAATATTAGAAATCATAAATTTCAGTAAAATTCAAATGTTAATCATTGAATATGTTCTCCTAACCTTCTACAACTTCAGAGGAAGTTAATTTGAAGACCTGTTTCTCTTCAGAAAATTGTGTTAAAAGTTAAAAAATAAGCTTCAAGTATCTTTTAAAAATTTTGCATCAATTATAGAGTAGTCTTGGATATGAGTTTCATTATTGTAAACATTCCTCAAAGTTACTGGAAATTTATTGTGACAGCTTTTTATTAAAGGAATGTGCTTTTGTCCCTCTAGATAAGTCATTACTTGAAAAAAGAATTTGAGAAAGATGAGAAGCCACGTGACGAGTCCTATCAAAATGCAGTCTTAGAAGACATTTTTAAGAAGAATGACCACGACGGTGATGGCTTCATTTCTCCCAAGGAATACAATGTATACCAACATGATGAACTATAGCACAGTTTTATTTCTATAAAGTTTCTTACTGTATTTTATATATAAAACACTTTTCTTCAAGTTGTCTTTTCTATTTGTCCCCCATGAGAAGATATTTTGATCCTCTTAATACATATTAATTTTGAGGTAATAAATGTGAGACTGTTTTGTAAGTGTTTCAGGAAAGGTACAATTGTGTTTCCTACTGCTGTATTCTCTGAACACAAATTGTAGCACCATGAAATATTCATAGACCTCTGTGTATTAGTGGATGATTTTCCCCCTTCAGGATATAGAACAGGTATATCAAAATCTGCAAGATCTTCCCAACTCCAACCTTAACATATTCAAGTTTAATATTTTAAATGATAAAACATCCCATATTTTAAAAATATTCAGTAGGGACCCAGGAATTAACATTTCATTTGTTTAAATATTTTAATATATTACAGATGGGTATAAAAATCATAGAGGACAGACAGTTAAGACACTGCTTGAGACACCTACATCCCATGTCAGAGTCTGGACTGGAGTCTTGGCTCTGCTCCCAATTCTACCTTTCTGCTAATGCAGTCTCTGGGAGATTGTAGGTGACGGCCTAAGTGGTTGAATCCTTGGCCACCCACATGGGAAACCTTGGCTGAGTTTCTGACTTCTGGCTTTAGCCAGGCTCAACTCTGCTGTGACAAACATCTGGGGAGTAAACCAGTAGGGGAGACCTTTCTCTATGTCTCTGCCTTTCAAACAAAATTTTTAAAAAGATTTATTTGAAAGTCAAAGTTGCAGAAAGAGCAAGGGAAAGACAGAGATATCTCCCATCAGCTGGCTCACTCCCCAAATGGCCACAACAACCAGGGCTGAACCAGGCCAAACCCAGGAGCCAGAAGCTTCTTCTAGGTCTCCCATGTGGGCACAGGGCTCCAAGCAGCTGTGCCATCTTCGATGCTTTCCCAGGCACATTAGCAGGGAGCTGGATCAGAACAGAGCAGCTGGGACTCAAACTGGCACCCACATAGTGGCAGCTTTACTCTATGCTATGACACCTGCCCCGAAACAAATTTTTTTAAAAAATTAAAAATCAGAGGACTGAAGAAGCTTCTTTTGTTAAATATACAGGAACATACTGGTTATATATACCTGTCCCACAAAGAACCTCAACACACTCTGCTTTTTTGGTGCAAACTTCTGGCCTTGGGTATTTATTCTGATGAGGAATATTTAAAGATATTTGACCAGACTAGAGACATTTTGCTTCTTAGAGCAGGCATAAAGGCTTTACTCTGGTTCTTATACTTCTTCAGGTATTATTACAAATGTATTTTCCTCTTCTTTTTCATTGGCCTTTATAAGATACCTACCACCACTAATTTTTCATCTTGATCATTTTGAACTGATGCCATGCAATTTCTTGGTTTCCATTTCCCTTTCTTTAGATATCTTTTTCCTGATGTCAGTTAATTACAGAATTCTTGTCACTAATGATAAATGATCATTACAAACTGATATGGCATCAAATACAGATAAATGTGTAAAATTTACTTTGCAGGGTGAGGGGTGCGCATTATGGTTCATCAGATTAAGCCATTACTTGGGACAACTAATCCCATGTCTGAGTGCTGGCTCAAGGCCTGCTTACTCTGCTTCTTATCCAGTTTCCTGCTAATGCACCTAGCAGGCAGCACATAATGACCCAAGTACTTGGGTTCCTGCCACCCATGTGGGAGACATGGATGGAGTTCCCAGGTTCCTAGCTGAGGCCTGACCCAGCCCCAGTCATTTCAGGCATCTGGGGAATGAATGGAAGCTCTCTAACTCTCTGCCTCTCAAATAATAAACTATACATGATTTTAAATTTATAATCAAGAGGTTTACTTTGAAACTGTTTCATCTTTAAATAATAATATGTTTTTTTAAAAAAATATTTATTCAGGGCCAGCACTGTGGTGTAGAGGGTAAAGCTCCTTACAGTGCTGGCATCCAATATGGGTGCCAGTTCAAGTCCCAGCTGCTTCACTTCCAATCTAGTTCTCTGCTATGGCCTGAGAAAGCAGAAGATAGCCAAGTCCTTGGACCCCTGTACCCATGTAGGAGACCCAGAAGAACCTCCTGGCTCCTGGCTCCTGGCTCCTGGCTCCTGGCTTCAGATCTGCGTAGCTCAGGCCATTATGGCCATCTGGGGAGTGAACCAGCGGATGGAAGACGACCTCTCTCTCTCTCTCTCTCTCTCTCTGCCTCTGCCTCTCTGTAACTCTGCCTTTCAAATAAATGAATCTTTAATAATAATAATAATAAAAAGATTCATTTATTTGAAAGGCAGAATTAGAGAGAGATCATCCATCCACTGGTTTATTCCCCAGATGCCTGCAACTGCCATGGCTAGCCAAACTGAAGCCAGGAGTGTGGAACTTCTTCCAGGTCTCCCACATGGGCACAGGCACCAAAGCACTTGGGCCATCTTCTGTTGTTTTCCCAGGCTCATTAGCAGGGAATGAGATCAGAAGTGGAGCAGCTGGGTTTCAAACTGATGCCCATATGGGATGCTGGCATTGCAAGTGGTGGCCTTACCCACTACGCCACAATGCTAGCTAGCCCCAAGAAATACATTTTTTAAAATTTTATTTATTTTTATTTGAAAGGCAGAGTTACAGAGAGCAGAGGCAGAGAGAGAGAGAGAGGTCCTCCATCCACTGGTTCACTCCCTAGATGGCCGCAATGGCAGGAGCTGCGCCAATCCAAAGCCAGGAGCTAGGAGCTTCTTCTAGGTCTCCCATGCCAGTGCAGGGGCCCAAGGACTTCGGCCATACTCCACCACCTTCCCAGGCCATTACAGAGAGCTGGATCAGAAGTGGAGCAGCTGGGACTCAAACTGGCACCAATATGGGGTGCCGGCACCACAGGCCACAGTCTTACTCGATAATGCGCCAGCTTCAAGAAATATATTTTTAATCACTCTATTACATATGATAGTATGTATAATTTTGTATTTGTGTATTTCTGCCTGCTTGTTTTATGAATTCATATGCATATATCTAGCAGTGAGTCCTATGATTACATTTAAGTTCTAGAATTTTAACATATTAATTTAGCTATTATTTTTTATAAAAGTGGGTAGCAATTTAATTTAGGTTGTTGTGATGAAAAATTCAGGTGTTTTTTTTTTTTTTTAATTTGTTTTTGGAAGGCAGAGAAACAGAGAGACAAAGAGAGCTCCCATCCATTAGTTTATTCCCCAAATGCTGCCAGAGCTGAGCCAAGTCGTAACTAGGCACCAGGAACCCAGTCTGGGTCTCCAACCTGCCACCTCCCAGGGTCCACATAAGCAGGGAGCTGGAATGGCTAGCAGAGATGGGATTTGAACTCAAGTACTCTGATATAATACAGATATCTCAAGTGGCTGCTTAACAGCAAATTGTGACTCATATTTCTTACAGAGTAGATGAAAAATATCTTTCAGAACAAAGTATGTTAAATGTTTTAAACATTTTTAAAGAAGGAGAGAGACATATCCTATCTGCCTTAACTTTAGAATGACAGTAATGAGTTTGATGATGATTGATGATGACAAAATAGCAAATATACATCACAAAACAGCAGCCCAACACTAACTAACTTGTATATGAAGTTAACATGCTGAGCACAATGTGCTTTTAACTTGATACTGCAGTTAAACATGTGGGATTACATTAAGTTATTAACCCATTTTTATTTACCAAATCAAGGGCAATAGTTAAAATACTATATAGAGTTGCCACTTGTACAATTTTCTTATCCTTAAACACTGAATTAAAAATTTAATGAAAATAAAACATTTAGAAATTTTAACTATATAAAAATTATCTTAAATGATTAACTAAAATTCCAGAAATTATTTTAAAGTAAGAGGCATCTTCATGAAGGAACAACTATATTCTGAATTTGATTTTTATAACTTTTTTTATATAAACAACTCTATTACTCTTCTATAAAGTTGTATTTGTTAGCTTTTTGCTATTATAAGGAAATAGTAGCACTAGTACTTATGAAGAAAGGAGGATTTTGGGGTGGGGGTGCTCACAGTTTTGGAGGCTCAAACAGTCCAAGATCAGGCAGGTTCCATAGGTTTAGCTGTCTGTGAGGGTGGCAACGGCAATGGCACAGCATGTGCAGGAGAACACACGCATGGAAAACCAGGAAGCAGAGAGAAAGGAAGACACTTATCATCAGTATCTATGTGAGCTCGCCTTAAAAAGTCCAATTCCCTCATGGGGGCGCCCCCTAACCACCTAATCTAATGTAACCACTTTCCACAGGTGCCACCTTGGACAACGTAATTAGATTAAGATTCCAGCCATGATCTATTAACCATTAACAATAACCCATAAGATTCTGGGGACCGAGCCTTTACCACATGCACCTTTGGGAGATACCCACAGTAAAATCCACACTACAACAGAGGTAGATACTATTATTATCTCTACTGGGAAATGATGCCCAAATAGGTTTATTTTTATTGTTCCTTTTTAATTTGATTCATCAAAACAATTCTAGATAATTTAAGGAGGGTTTTCTGGCACAACTGCACTTTAAACACCAGTAAGGTATATTCATTTTTCATTTTATTTCATTCTCTTATGCCAAATATCAAAACAAGGGACTGCATGAAGTCTCACATACTTCTGCCCATCGACAGAACACTGAAAGCACCCATAAACCGTCTCCCTTTTTAAGTTCCCCATTCCGCAGAGTATGCAAGGCCCTTTTGGAATGTTGTGATTAAGCAAGTTAACTCGGATATGAGTTCCTTCTTTGAGTGAAATATCAGTCATGCTGAGAGGTTTGTCATAGTAGTCAGAAAAAAGGTCATCCAAGTAAAGCTGTGAACGAGATATGGCATCCATCACTCTTCTATCTAAAAGGACAACAAAACAACAATGTATGTTAGAAGTCAAAAAATATATAACCCAAATTGCATTTATAAATATGTGAATATAAACTATCAGTCATGAAATAATTTGGCTTTTAAATTTATGTTTTCTTGACAGGATTACTGAATAGATAATCTCATGGGTTAATTCAGGGAGAAAAAGAAAGACATTTAAATACTCTTCAATGGACATACTTCTTTCAAACAGTATATTTCTCAATCTGTAGAGCAGTGCAAACGTGGCTGTTTCTTCTCTTTCAAATCCTCCTTTTGACACTGAAGTGACACAAAGGTCTATGAAAAAATTTTGAGAAGACATTATAGCATGAACAACTTATTTTACTAGGTATTTTATGGGAGCAGTGAATTCTAGCATATGCTATTCATTGTATTTTTTTTAAAGTTAAATTTTATATATTTTTTGGAAAAGGCAACATACACAGTACAAAAGGACACACTGACACACCGCCCACACCCTACCCAGTCTTCCACCCCAGAGGCATTGTTAAGTGTCTTGTGTCTGTTTCCAGAAACATTCCGTGTATTTTACAAACCTAAAGGAAAATGTATGTATCTATGTATGTCTATAAAAATATTTAGGCCAAAATAGCTACACACAATATAAATATCTACAAAAACCTCTAAGAGATTATTCAATATCTGTATCAATAGGGCTATCTCATTCTTAATGGCTTCACAGTATTCTGTTGCACGGATGTACCATCATTTAACAAGTTTCCGTAAGGTTGTTTCCAGTGTTTTGTTATCAGGATCTGAAGATCCTTGTGTTCAAATCGTTTCACATAAGTGTGAGTGTACCAAAAGGATAAGTTTCTAGAATTGGAAAAACAAAAAATATGTACATTTTCAATTCTGAAAGATATGTTCACATCAGTTTGTACTCCTCCCAAAAAATCAGTGTAACTGTAAAAACCTCTGCCTGAAGTTTTCCTTATAGAATTTACTTGGTTTACAGTTTTACTTCTGGATTGCTTAACTTCTTCTCCCACAGAATTTCAGAAACAAATAGAAACAGGACAAAAAATGTTTATAAATTATCATAGTTAGGGTACTCCCTTGTCTGGTCATCTGACAGCTGGCCAACTAATCTTAAAGACCAGTAACATGTAGAAATCTAAAGTGAGCTGCACTCAGGTACTATAAAAGATGACAATTTTGGAGAAAGTATTTGTACTTTATAAGGGAGGACTCATGCAGGTAAGCTGGGTCTATTATAGGTAAAAACTAAGCAAGAAAAGTTGTATTTGGGTCACTCTGGCATGGGTGTCCTGACACTTCAGGCTTGGTGTTATCTACCTACTCCTCAAAGACTATTAATTAGTAGGTCACTGATTATCTCCCCATGAAAGTCAAGGAACACTTTGTCAGTGGATTGTATGTTAGCTCTTATCTATAATTCTAAGTGGTTGGTGGGGAGTGTGTAGCCTTCAGTAAGAAGTAGGTAAGACAGATGGGGTAAGGAAGGGAAGAAAGGGCCTTTCCCAGCTACTTCACCCAAACAAAATTGACAATGCTGAAAACAGCACTTTTATAATTATTATACACACATATAAAGAGAGAAAGAGAGTTTACCATTAAATTATTCTTAAAAATATGTTTGTTTTTCAGGTATATCATTCACTCACCAAAGGCACCATCCAGGTAAATAAAGAGCTCAGAAACACTGAAAGCTATAGTTGTATGTGCTGGAAACACAATAGCTTTTTCTCTTCCCTTGGGATTCTGTTCATCCATAAAGTGAAACTATATTAAATAAGTAAATAAGATAACATTACTAAGGAGCAAAACATGGAGTGATAGCTTTTTGGAGAAACAAAACATCGACAGTCCTAGCCATGATAATAGCCATCAACCAACCAAACACTTCTCCAAGTAAACACCTCTAGAACCAGCTCTCCTTGAATTCAACTCTCAGACATCCATTGCAGACTCCTGATCTACATTACAAAATGCCTCCTCACGTTTTCACTCATTTTGGTAGTAGAGCCCCTGGTAAGTGCTACCACAACAGGAATGCGCTCGGGAGCAGAAGCCTTTCTCTTTCAACTTCGACTCTCAGAAAGCAACTGTGGTTAAATTCTAGAGTTGACATTTTTATCCTAACCTATTGACCATTCCTAAACCTCCAGAATTTGCAGCAGCTTTCCAAAGCAAATAAACATCAATTTATCTTCCTAATCAAGTAAATATTTCACTTGTGCCCCCACATGATCCAGTGTTCATCAGAATTTTGTGAGCAGCTGAATATAAGTACTGAACAGAATTTTTATTTGCAAAGAAGTGAGAAGATGATCATTTAACCCCAAGTTTCTAATAACTGGCTTTAATCCAATCAAGCCATTTCTAGGTGGCACTGAACAAGATACAATCATGATTGAGAACAAAGTTTAACACAAATATTTAACATTGACTGAAGCATGTTTGCAATGATAATGTTAACTTGGAAAATCTATCTCACTACAAAATAGGCAGTTCAATTTTTAAAACTTCAAAGTATGAGGTTATTTATCACTTAAAGTCAAATAATTAAATACTCAATTTTTATTCTTAAAGACTGGCCTTGAATAGTAACAGAAGGGACTCCAATGTGCATATTATTTCACAAGCATTCGTGTTTTGTTTGCACTATATTGCATATTTAGAATCCAGTTCTCTTGGATTTTTTTTTTTTTTGAATACTCGAAACAAAGTCATGACTGTGCAAAATCCTTTACGACTGCAGCTCTTTCATCTCAACATTTGACAAAATACACAAGTCTCATTAGAAATGGAAGACTTTGAAAAATTCCCCATGGCAACTTTTTAGTACGTGAAGCCTGATGAACATGGTTTACCCGCATTGCTTCCCCTCGAATTCCAGCATGCACCGACAGAGAGCACTGTCGTGTGGTTCGAATGCTTTCCATAACCACACATAATACCGCCTTTCTGTTGCTCCTTGACTGACGGATCAAACTGTGATCAAAATTAATTTTTCTAAAATAAAGAAGAGACATTCACAAGACTGTTCAACACCAAATTACTTTTTAGCAAGTCTGATATCATGTGATACATTCGCAAGCCATCTTAAATAAAGCAAGGCAGGCCTATCACAAATCAGAAAATACACCTAAGTGGGCTTTAATAATCTTAACTTTGCTTTCTATTTTTTTAGAACATGCTGACATATTAGCTACTTGTCACTACAACCAAAATACCTGAGAGAAGCCATTTATGAAGGACTGTCTGGCTCACAGTCTGGGAGGTTTCCAACCCATGATCAGGTAGGTCTCCCGAGTTCAGCCTCTAGTGAGGCCGGAGGATGGCAATAGCAGAACATGTGCAAAGGAACAACCACAGGCAAGCCAGGAGGCACAGAGAGTGGGTAGGACCAACACGGCTCTACAACACTCTCAGAACTACTTTCCACTGGTATGCCCCCAAGAAACTGGTACCTCCCACCACACCCACCTCCTAGACACCATACTTGAATTAGATCTCCACCCTTTTACTGCCACTACATCGTATGACTTTGGGATTTAACAATCTGCATGAGTTTGGGAGCCATATCCTATTCAGACCATATCATATGGAATGTTTCTTCTGTCTGTTGAGAGTCAAAGGGGATCTCAGTGTATTTATTGCAAGCAGATTCCTGCATTATTTCAATCTAATAATTTAGCAAATGTGTACAGAGCCAAAATGATATTGTAGAACAGTTAAAAATGTTGTTCAAGCCAAATGATTCTGGATATCTATTATTTCCCAATGTTTGGGTATACTACTAATTTGTAGCATTTCAAACTAATACATTATACTACTAAAATAAAACCCAAATATTTTAAGCAGTCTTTGTGGTTGACATTTACATAGTTAAAAATGAAAACATTGAAGTGTACAGGGATTATTATACTGACCGTGTAGTAATTTCCTTGAGTAATGTTGATACTTCTATTTCATGTTTGGTTACTACACCAAATGAAGCTTTTACAGCGATGGAATCTGACCCAGCAACATTAATCCCAACGTCGTTTACAATATGGTTCCCTCGCCTTCCATAGAGAGAAAGATCTGACTCATCTTCATAATTCAGTAACTGATAAGATGAAATGCCTTTACAAGAAGGAACATAGTATTTTTTAAATGTCTCAAACTCATTTTACATACATTGCATATATAAATAGGTAAGCAGGTTAATTTACAATTGAAGACTCAATTACCCAAGTGTTAATAAGAAAGATGACATTTCAAATGAGTATTAAAAGTAGCAATTCAATTAATTTTATAACAAAAAGAAACAAATAGAATACTTTAAATGAACTTGAATTCTCTGATCAATCAATACAACTTGTTAACAAGATGCACTGCATAGTTAAAAGAAACACAAGCATTATAAGCAATAATTCCTCAGAATGTTACGATCTAGCTTTATTGTACATGTTCACAAATTGTAATGACTAAATAATCAAAAAGAAGCATTACTTTCATTTCATTTGACCAATTAATACCTTCTAGATGAAGAAATACAATTATGTCCTATTTTAAGTTGAATTAGTTAATAACTTATAATTATCAGATCTGAAAATCATTTTGACCAGTAAGAGATGTAATAATACCATACAAACATTAAGGATTGGTCATCTTAATATTATTAAGACTATCATCATCAGTTTCTTTTATCAATGACAACATGCAAGCATTACTAATGAAAGTAGCATAGGTGACCTATGTTTAAGTTATTAATGATACAGCTAAGTGAGTATCACTCTCAAACATTTAAACTTACCAGCTGAAATTTCTCTGTCTCCTAGAAGAATATCTTTCAGTGTAAATGGTGTTGAGGTAAATTTATATCTAGGAAACAGAAAGCATCTCTTCTTTTTCACCACCAGACTTAAAGGCTGGTATTTGTCAGCTTCACTGAGGCTGGGAACGGGCACTAATCTCCCTCCATCTCCAACTTGCTTGACAAAGCTCTTGGTGGCAGCAGCAAACATATTAAAGCCAAAGCATCATCAGCTGCAAACCCCGGATAGCAAATCCATTTTCAAAGAAGAAAATCAGGCACACACTAAGCCTTGCTTGATCTTAAATAGAATTATACACGTTAAAAGTACAAAGCATGGTTTCCCCAAGTAGTTTCCCAGTGTACAATTCACAACACTGCCTCCCCTCGTGTGCTCAGGTAATGAATTATAGATCAACGATGTAAAACGATATACTGAGAGCAAGCCTAATTTGCACTGGCTGTTTATAGCATTAAAATACACACAGAAAAATAATTTTAAAATACTACCAATGTCCTTGATGAAAAACATTGTTGATAGTATTGCCAGTAGCAATGGGCCAATTATGAGTGAAGCATATAGCCAAGTAGGAAATCATGCACCTTAAGCACAAACATTTGTCCTGAATACTACCCACAATGGACCTGGTCCAAAGGGAATTCTTTCACAAGTCCACCATTTGGAGTTTGGCAACAGAAAAGGATTGTCTGGAATCTGTTAACAGGTCATTAAGCATTTATTTTCTTTTCTGCCTTGTTTTCAAAACCAAGTGTTAATACATCACCAACTATAGGAAAACAACTGGACGTGTAACTTTATACAACACTGAATTAAAGCCACATTACACACAAATAAAGGGACAACGGTCTCGTAGGCGGCTTCCGCTGAAGCCAGGAGCAGAGACCACATGCCTGAAATGGGAGTCCTGCCACATTTCGTTTAGTTTCATCATCGATACCCCAGTTACTCACTAAGGTCTTGGCTTGCTTTTACGGAAGGTTTTGTTTGTTTTTTGTGGATTTTTTTGTAGCCTTAAATGAACTTTAGACATAAATTCGAGTGTTGAAATGTTGGATTGCTAGAAGTGTTAGGTAGACCCTCATGTATTTTCAGATAATAGCTCTGTAGCCCTTACAATGATATTCATTCAAACGGAACTATTGGATAGTAATACAGAAGAGGTACAGGAAGGGAGGGAGAACAGGCTTAAACCTCCAAATAACAGAATTTTATTAAATCTTGGACATTCTTTTCGCCTGTTTTCGAGTACCCAGAATTTATCTGCAACTTTTAAAAATAATTAAAAATTACTTTTCATAATATCCTTTAGGCCGAATAGCGCATTGCGCAAACCAATCTTCCAGAACACACAGTAAGCACAAGCAGGCATTTCTGCAAGCGGCTAGCGAATCCCTGGAGAGGAGACACCTAACGTCGCTGCTTGCCAAGGTGGCGTACCCCACGCAAACGCCATTACGCTCCACACCACCGGCCTGCACAGACAGCGCAGGATGGGGCTCTGGTCCACAGAAGGAACCGGCTTTCAGCCGGCTCGCTCATCTCGCGACGAAAGCCTGGTGGACAGAGGAGCCCGTACTCGGGCTGCTCAAGGCCCAGCTCGCAGCCCCCCGAGGCAGATGCACCCAACGGTCCCTACTTCCAGGCCTGGCTGTTTTGCACTCGAACTTTTGAAATCTTTCCTCCCCATCCCTCAAAAGGGCTGAGCTTCAGGCCTCACAGACCCCGAGCCCAGCCCGAACAAAGCCTTCTCTCCGGACAAGCAAACGCCTGCTTCTAAGGTTCAAAGAACTGCGACCACAGGGCCGGGTGCCCAAAGGCCGAGAGCCCCGGGAGCCGAAGGCGGGGTCGCAGGGGGCACCGGAAGGCAGCGGCAGGAGGAGGGGACGAGCCTGGAGGAGCCTCGGGAGCCCAAGGCAGGGGCACCTGCGGGAGCCGCGGAGGGAAGGGCCGGCGGGCTGGAGCGCCGGGGAGCGAGCCGGGAGGCAGCCCAGGCAGCCGGAGGGCGTGGCCGGCGCTGCCGTACCGAGGCTCCGCCCCCGCCCTCGCCCGCCCCCTTCGCAAGAGGGACGCAGGCGAGACGAGTAGGGGGAGGCGGCGGCGGTGGTGGCGGCGAGCTCGTCTCCGGCAGGACCCGCCGACCCGGGCAGCGAGGACGTCGCTCCGCACCGCTCCTTCTCCCGCCGCCCCTTCTCGCCATGTCCCAAAGCAGGCATCGCGCCGAGGCCCCGCCGCTGGAGCCCGAGGACAGCGGCACATTCAGGTCAGCGCCCGGGAAGCCGGGCCCGCGGGGCCACACGGCGGGGAGCAGCCATGGCAGCCCGGGAGCGGGGCGCGCCCCTCGGCGCCCGCGAGGCGGCCGGGCCTCCCGCGGCATGCTGGGAAAAGCCCCTTCCTGGCGCCCTCCCCGCCGCGGCCGTGGGCGTCGGTTCGGCCCCGCCCTCTCGGCGGCGCCGGGCCGGGGTCTGCAGCGGGGTCCCTCGGTGCGCAGCGGCGGCGCGCGCGGGGTGGGCTTGGTCCTGAGAGGATGCGGCGCGGGTTCCCGCCCGGCCTCCTCCAGGTCTCCGCCGCCGATGACTGACGCAGCGGGCCGCGGCACAGGTGCGCCCTGGCCTGGCCGGCGTTGGCGCTGGCTGAGGCTGTGGCGTCCCGCCGGCCTCGACGATGCCCGTCGCAGCCGCAGCCCTCGCTGCTTCGGCATGCGAAGCACCTGTTTCTGATTTCTTGCAGTTTGGGGAAAATGATAACAGCTAAGCCAGGGAAAACGCCGATCCAGGTATTACACGAATACGGCATGAAGACCAAGAACATCCCGGTTTATGAATGCGAACGATCCGATGTGCAAATACGCGTGCCCACTTTCACCTTCAGAGTAACCGTGGGTGACATAACCTGCACAGGTCTGTATGCACAGTTAACCCCGGTGACCGTGCGGGTTGGCAGTCAACGCTCGGTGTTGCTTTTCGTTTTGGAAAAATGCGCCTTTTGCCAGAGACGGTCAAAGAGGAGCAGGAACTGAAACTGACACCTTGCGTCTCAGGTCATTCGGACTTTCCGAGTTTGTCTGCTTCTCTCGCGCCTCGGTTTGTCTTCCCCGGAGAGCAGGGCAGCTCAAAAATGAAAAAGTTATCCAGGCATCTTGCAAGAACCCACGCACATCTGGAAGCCTCCTACGGTTCCAGCAAGAGTTAGGAGGAAGTCATAGCTGGATCTGTAGGTGCTGTCGTGGTTCATACTTTGATTATAGCACAGGCCGGGAAGCAGGACCCCAGAATTTTCTGAGCACCCCTCTCTGGATTTATTTCCGACTTTTTGTCCATTGTCCCACTTTTGATTCCCTTATCCAAATGGAATAAGGACAGGCAGAAAGCACCCATACTATGTGGCATAGCAGTTTCCAGCTCCTGAAACTGTAAGGTTGTATCCCCTTTTTATAAATTAAAGAAGGTTCAGAGAGGTGACAGGTAACATGCTTACAAAGAAGTTTGAGAATTCCTGCCCTTGCTTATTTTGGTCTGTGAGCCTGAGCAAATGGGAACAGGCTGCCCATGTGTAAATGTAGCCATATTTTTCTTATGTATCAGTTTAATTTCAAACATTAAACATAGGGAGGTTTGGAAGAATGCCAGTAAAAAAATTTGGTAGAAAGGCTGAAGTTCCACCATCTGGTGATGTGAAGTCTTCTGTTTTATGTCCGTGGAGTCCTCTGTTTTCACTGACGTCACTTTAAGAAAGTTCAGGCTGCTGTTTGTTGTTGTTGTTTGTTCGTTTTGCTTTTTTCTGTGTGAGGCAGATGGATGGTAGGCACTGGCTGGAAGGCTTGTCATGTGAACCAGAGGATCAAACCTTGCTTTACTACCGGAGATTAAAAACCCATGGCAGCCATTCTTCCTAAACCCTTTTTCCGCACTAGCCTGTCTTCCTGCGAGAGTTGCTCTCGCTCCACAGCTTCCAACACTTTGCAGAGGCTACCGTGAAATCCGTATCGTGAGCCCAGGCCCTGTGTCCGAGCGATGTGTCCGCCTGCGTTTGCTGGCATCTTTACTTGCATCATTCAGAAGCACCTTAGGGGCTCTGTCCCAAGCTGAATCATCTATTTCTTCAAGCCCACGCCCCCTGCGTTAGTCTTTGTAAAGGCACTAAAATGACCCAGCTGCATCGTGGAGATCTGAGTTTGTCTCAACTGCTTCCCTTCCCCCTCCCTGTCTCCTAGATAGTCTGTTGGGTCTGCTTCTGTCCTTCCCACTGCTAGCCGCTGTCATCTCTCCCTTGGATTCTAGGTATAGGTCCTTAGCTGCTCCTCTGTTCTGTCGGTGTCCTTTCCCACACAATAGCCAAGTACTCTAAGCAGTCAAATTCTTCCTCTTCATCCAGTGGTTCCCCTGCCATCCTCTGGATAAACACAGATTTCTTAGCATGACTTACAACCTTGTGTCCTTTTTTTTTTTTTTTTTTTAAGATTTATTTATTTATTTGAAAGGCAGAGTTAGAGAAAGAGTGAGAGATCTTCCATTCACTGGTTCAGTCACCAGATGGCCACAATGGCTGGAGCTGGGCCAGTCTGAAGCCAGGAGCCAGGAGCTTCTTCCAGGTCTCCCATGTGGGTACAGGGGCCCATGCACTTGGGTCGTCCTCCTCCTCTGTCCCAGGCACACCTGCAGGTAGCTGGCTCGGAAGTGGAGCAGCTGGGACTCGAGCTGGGATGCCAGTGTCGCAGGTGGCAGCTTTACCCACTGTGCCACAACGCCGGCTGTGCAACTTTCCTTCCTTTTTTTTTTTTTTCATTGATTTATTTTTTTTTTAATTTTATTTATTTATTTTTTTATTTTTTGACAGGCAGAGTGGACAGTGAGAGAGAGAAAGGTCTTCCTTTGCCATTGGTTCACCCTCCAATGGCCGCCACAGCCGCACTGCACTGATCCGATGGCAGGAGCCAGGTACTTATCCTGGTCTCCCATGGAGTGCAGGGCCCAAGGATGTGGGCCATCCTCTACTGCACTCCCTGGCCACAGCAGAGAGCTGGCCTGGAAGAGGGGCAACCGGGACAGAATCCGGCGCCCCGACCGGGACTAGAACCTGGTGTGCCGGCGCTGCAAGGCGGAGGATTAGCCTAGTGAGCTGCGGCGCTGGCCGCAACTTTCCTTCTTAAAATGAAGTCAGCTCACAGCATTGGTGTCGCCTGGGCATTTCTTTCTTTCTTTCTTTCTTTTTTTTATTTTTGGACAGGTAGAGTTGGATAGTGAGAGTGAGAGAGAGACAGAGAGAAAGGTCTTCCTTCCGTTGGTTCACTCCCCAAGTGGCCACCACGGCCAGCGCTGCACCGATCTGAAGCCAGGAGCCAGGTACTTCCTCCTGGTCTCCACTGCAGGTGCAGGGGCCCAAGCACTTGGGCCATCCTCCACTGCCCTCCCAGGCCACAGCAGAGAGCTACTGGGACTAGAACCCAGCGCCCATATGGGATGCCGGCACTGCAGACGGAGGATTAACCAAGTGAGCCACGGCGCCGGCCCCGCCTGGGCATTTCTTAGAAATGTAGGGTGTCAGGCCCATCTGGATGTAGGCAATCAGATTATATGATAGCCAAATTCCTAGACAGTTCCTGTGCACATTAAAGTGCAAAAAATATGCATGTACAGTCCTTTTCTTTTTACCTGCTTCTGTGTGCTTCCCTGCAGCGTACACTTAACACTTGCTTTAACACGTACACCTCCATATTTCAGATGATTAACAAATCCTGCACCAAGCTGGCAGTTCTTGAGGGCAGGAACTCCTTTGTGTCCCTAATACCCGTGTTAGTGGAAAAATGAGGATGGTTTGTGTGTCCTCTGGCAGTTGAGGGTCACATTTGAAACTTTCCATGAGGGTTTGAACTTAAAAGGAAAAAAGATTGAGTTTACCAAACCAAGCGTGATTGCTTAGTGACATTTAGATACTAGTCTTATCAGGACCCCCTTTTCTACCAAAGTAAAGGATCCAGATGTTATGGAAAACACGTAACATAAGCTAGAACTCTGCACATTCCCAGCAGGTAGCCATGACCGCTTAGCCTTAACAGGGATTTGACCTAGTAGAAGATAGGCTGTCAGAATAAAATTGTGCACATTTTGCTGTCAAACAAGTGGTTTCTTTAAAGGCAACATCTTTTTGCAAGAGTTTCCTTTCTCCAGGAAAAGAGAAGAGTAAAATACTAAGTTGCATTTCTTTAGAAGGTGTGACATTGTATATTTAATTACCATTTTATGTGATAAACAAGTAATATAGAAATAATCAGGGTTTTTATACAGGTATGCATAAAATAAATACATAGAACTTAAAGTTGTAATATACTAGATTAACTTCACGTGGTGAATATCTTATTACCATGTATGTCTGTGTGCATGTAGCATATGTTCTTACTGCCTGTGCATGTATATGTAAAACTTGTAGTGACTTTGTATTATGATATCTGTATAAGCCACACGTCTTTACAGGAAGTAAACCTATTTTTTTTTCAATCTTACTTCAGGTGAAGGTACAAGTAAGAAGCTGGCAAAACATAGAGCTGCAGAAGCTGCCATAAACATTTTGAAAGCCAATGCAAGTATTTGGTGAGCTAACTTTCTTTGTATTATGCAGCTCAAAAATACCATGGCTGAGGTAAGAAAAAATTTCAACATGCTCACAAAGGCAACAGAGTAAAAGTTAGTGTCTAAGCTCTCAAATTCGATTTCTCTGTGAAAACCTGCCATTCACTAAAGACAACTTGTGTTCAGTCAGACTCTCGTGAACCGGGTGTGACTTGTTTTCTTTTCCAGATGGGGTGCAACAGTAGAAAACCAGAGTGTTTCTCTGACAATGTTAATGTTAATATTCTGTGTTAAGATCGATTGTTTCTACACTGAAGAAAACAAGGTGTGAGGTGGAACAAGGTCAGCTATAAGTCCTCTTTTAGGGATTCTGATTTGGAAAAAAGAGGCAGAGATTTTCCTTGTTACAGACTGTATACCAAATACAAGAGAATGGTAATGGGATAGTAGTTTTTGACACATCTTTCCAAATTAAACATTTTTATCACTTTGAAGTGCTTTTCGGAAGAGTACCGTAGCATCTTACGTATCATGAAGTGGTGTCTTTTGGTTTCTCCTGGATACAGTGTGGAGCATGGCATGCCTTCAGGTCCTTCCCTACCTGCAGTCAAGTATCCTTGGGTACCACCTGGTGTAATATGCTCCTAGCTGACAGCTGAGCCCCTTGGACACATTTTGGATGAGCTTCTTGTTCCCCAAGTGTAGATTTTGAACTAGGGATGTATTTAGGTTCTCATGTAGTATTCTTTTTGTAAATCATTCTAAACTTTTTGGGTAGTTTGGAACTAACCAGTGACAAGGCAATCTTCCAGATAAGCACTTCCCCAACTCAAGCCTTGGATCTCCCAAGATGATGCTTGATTGTCTAGGGTCATGCATTACAATTGATTTATGCTGGCTTTCAAGACATGCCAAACGACATGGCAGGTGTTGGGTTCTCCTCCTGATGGTGATGGCCGTGCTATTTCTGTGCAGCCCAAAGGTCGCCCTAAGTGTTGAGCACATTGGTAGAAATGAGCGGACGGAGTGTCCTTTCTACACGTGGGCACTTCACTTTGTCAGCAAAAAAAGGCTAATAAACTTTACTGTATATTTGTGCTTCTTGACAGATAGAATGGGAATTACTAAGCTGTTATCAGGGGTAAAGTGGCCTTTCTCACTTCTCCATCACAATTATTTGGCTAGCCTCGGCATGCAGCATTGTAAGTGAATACTCCTGTCTCATCAGCCTATGTAAAGCTTGAAGTTCTGGCAGTAGCTTGAAATCTTGGCAGTTGGAAAAGAAACTTGAGGACGTGGCAATGGCTAAAGCTCATTTGTCATGGAAGAAGTGACTTTCCAGTAGGCTAAGTGTTAGTAACCTTGGAATGCAGCTTATTCAGTGTTAGGAACCAATCTCCCAAGTAACTAGTGATTTCAAACTACTTTAAAGAGGTTGTTCTCTTTTTCCATAATGATAATCCCCACATGCTGAAGCCAGATCATGCAGGCCATCTGTTTCATGCAGGATATGTAATAATCTCTCTCTCTCCCATAGTTGCATGCATGAAAAACAAGTTATGAGCTATATTACATTGCCAGGCTAAATTTCCCAGCTCATTTTAGTCTTCCTCTGTTGTATATTTGTAGCAATAGTATACTTTAATGTGTAATTTTATTGAGCAGCTATTACATACAGGATACCAAAAAGCATATGTAAGTAAGAAAGAAATAGACGCTATCACCAAGGAGCTTGCAGTCTGAACAGAGGAGACTTAGATAAGGGTGGAAAAATTACATGGATTTGTGTGAGCATTTAATTATGATAAAACAGTTTCCTTAAGGAAAGGTCAAACCAAATGTTAACAGTGACCCAAAGGAAGGAAAGATTGTGATCCATTAGGAAAAAAGGACAGGCTTTTTGGAAGGAAGTGACTCTTGAGATACACTTTACAGTGGGACAAATCAGATTCCCATAGAAGTTGTTGTGATTAAGGGCATTCCATGTAGAAGGAATGGCAAGAGCAGAGACATAGACGGTTAAGTGGAAAATTCTTGTCATTTGTTTAGAAATTTGTGAGAACTTGCTTTATTTTATAACATTTGGAAACATGTTTAGCTTTGCAGTTCCTGATCCTTTAATGCCTGACCCTTCCAAGCAACCAAAGAACCAGCTTAATCCTATTGGCTCATTACAGGCAAGTCATACAGTTTATCCATCAACGTTTTGCTTACTAGTCAGTTGATAATAAGCTAATAAGTTGATAGTATCAGAGTCTAAGGCAAGAAATTAATATTTAAAGATAAGATGGTGAAATATTTTGTTTTCCAGGTTATGGTAATTAGATATTACAAAGCTAACATGAAATTCATTTTCCTATTTATTTGTGTTTTGCATTTTCTTCCATATACAATGTCCTGCTGTGGTTTGTTTAATTCTCATTTGATATCAGTAGGACCTCAGTGAGCAAGGGTAGAGAGAATTTCATACATTAAACGTATTTCTTGTCATTCTTATGACAAACCTCTTTCTATTTCTGTTGAGTCAGAAGACTTCGGAGTCCAAATGGGGTATTCTAACCCAAGGAACATAGTTTGTTTATTTGCCCATTTTATACCTCCAAAATTATGTATATTCAGCTTTTATATATTATATATATAATATATATATTTAGCGTACAGAATATCCTTGCAGAGTATCCTTGTGGTCTGTTGAAACACTCCTCCCAACTCCCTCCCTTTCAGTATCCAGCCAATCCTTTGGTCTCTTTTTTTCTCTTGCTCTTTGAGTTTCTCATTAGTTTTTCTTCACTTTCTGTCTATAACTTGGTCCAAGTTTGTTTACTCTCTGTGCTCCTCATCTGCTGTTGATGAGGACAGTAGTTAGAAAGGTTGGAAGCCTGGGGCCAGGAGGGGAGAGGTGTTGGGAACTGATGGTGGTGAGAGCTGTAGGTGTCTTCTCTGGTGTGCTCAAAGAGCATGGTAGTAGCCTGTCTTTCTGGTGAACTCTTAGTTCACTGTGGCTGAATGGAGGAATGCCATTCAAGCATAGTACTGTTCATTTTTGATGTTGTGATATAAAGATAAAAATACAGGTATATCTATGCAAAATATAGGGTCTTTCTTAATTTTTCAGTTGAAGCATGTCATTATTTTCAAATATAGAAATGGGAATCAAAATCAAGAAGAAATACAAGTTCTGTGATTGAGTCATTGCACAGTTAAAATTACAATTAAAGCTCTCCTCTCGATTTTATAGGAATTGGCCATTCATCATGGTTGGAGACTTCCCGAATACACCCTTTCCCAGGAGGGAGGACCTGCCCATAAGAGGGAGTACACCACAATTTGCAGGCTAGAGTCATTTATGGAAACTGGTACTTATTTCTTACAATTAAAAACGTGCAATATTTTCAGGTGTTGAGAGACTATAGACACTTGTGTTGTATTATCTTTTCAAATATCTTCATAGGGAAAAAATTGATATACTCCTTCTGCCTCTGGTTTTCTGAGGTTGAACTTGCTTATGAATATTTACCATATGACCACTTGATACTTATTAATTTGGTATTTTTAAAAAGTCACAGGAAGTGAATGTAAAGACAAATAATTGACTCTGAACTTCAATCTTTATCAACTTAGTCATGACTTAAAAATACATTTCAGAGAAGAATATATAGTAAATCTCCTGGAGTATAACATAAATTCTAGAAAATAGGAAGACAAGAGTAAGATTACATTTGAAAATGAGATTAATAAGAGGATAGATGTCAAAAAATTATAATGTAATGAAAACAAAGTAGAAATGATCTCTTTTAAATGTAGCAGCTTCCATGTTGTAGAGGATAAACTGTGAGGAAAAAAAGCAGTCACTTAAAAAAATAATGGTGATAATTTCTCTGTAAAAACTTTTTTGGCATGTTCATGTCATTTTTAAAATGACTTAAAAGGGAATTTCACCTTAACTAAATTCTGGTTTCAATTAAGTGACAGCTGCTTGCCCTTGAATGTTGCTGTGAGCCAGTGCTGAAACTGCTGGGTCAGAAGTAGGAACCTCAGGCTTCTGCTCCTCATGCAGTCCTTGATTTGCAAGGTTAAGCGAATTACTTAACCCTTCTGGGCCTCATTTTTTAAGTATATAAAGCAAAACCATGGTAGTAGACATCTAGGGTGTCTTTCAATTGCAGCATCTCCTATGCCCTTCTTTGTCATAATAAGGAAATCCCACATAGTCGTCAGTTACAGATCATAGCAGGAAATAGACTCTGAAAAATAGGGTTGTAATTCCAGTATATTTTATAAGTATATATTATAAATCTGAATAATTGGCCAGAATTAAACCAACTACTGTTCATTAAAGGTAGCCTTAGGACAGTATAACTATTAAAGAAAAACCAAAATACAGTATATGTATCTGTTAAAGAAAAATGTTTAAGAAATGCTTTCAAAAATATAGACTTATTAACAATATAAAGTACAATAAAGATGTCAGGTCAGTACAAAAATAGCATATAAAAGCCATGAGGTTGTTGTCTGATGAAACATTTGATCACCCTCTATGGACAATAATTTCTTTTCTAAATCTACCATTTCTTTTTCTTTATTCAGGAAAGGGGGCATCCAAAAAACAAGCCAAGAGAAATGCTGCTGAGAAATTTCTTGCCAAATTTAGTAATATTTCTCCAGAGAACCACATTTCTTTAGTGAGTAACAATCAGACAGCTATGTTAATGTGATTAAGCATCTCTCGCTGTAGGAAACCTTTTTTGATTTCTTGCAACTAAAAAAAAATCTCTTCCTTGTTCAGTTACACTCTGCCCCAATTTTAGCTGCTGCTTCTGTGTGAGCCAAGGTTTCAGGGGTCACAGGTATAGGGTTTGGAGAGGCAAATCCAGAATAAGAGGAAATCTGAAGATGATAGAACAGTAGTGCCATTTTTTTGCCTTTGAAGTTACAGCCCATTCCCATCCTTTTGTTCATTCATTTATCCACTCAGCAAACACTAAGTAAGTTGATCATGTATACTAAACTGGGATGCAGTGAATTAGCAACCTGTGCCCCTAAGCAGTTCATAGGCCACTGAGAGGGAGGAGAGAAAGCTAGGCTGGTCCTTCCCGCTGGTGGTGTGGCAGTGTAAGAGGTGTCCACTGAAGGCAGGGCGTTTGAGGAAGGTCTGCAGGAAGAAGAAATGTCTAAGCCGAGAGCCGTAGGACAAGCGTGGGGAGGAGAGTTGTGGAAAGAAGCAAGCGTGTGCAGAGCAACAGCATGCGCAGTCGAGGACCCTTCAGAGTCTGGTGTGTAACGCATGGCACTGGACGGAGGGAGTCTCACGGTGAAGCCGGGAAGAGAAAGAGGGCCTGCTCCTGGCAGGAAATGGAACTTAATCCTGAGGGCAGTACAAAGTCATGAAAGAATTTTAATCCGGGACATTTGGAATCTGATTGGTACGTCAGAAAGGAGATCACTTGTGTGCCGCACAGTGTGGAAATGACTGTCAGGATCAGAAGGACCTGCGAGAGTGCTGACACGGAAAGAGCAGTGAAGGCTTACCCCAAGGTTGTAGCCGAAAATGGAAGTGGTCAATTTAAACATTATTCAGAAAACTGACGTGAAGGCCATGGGAATTGATTGGATGTGAGGAGTAAGGAACAGGGAAGAAAAATATTTTTAGCTTGGCCACTGAGCAGATGGCACCATTCAATAGTAATGGGAACCCAGAAGATCATTTGAACCAAATGTAGGGCATTTCATTGGAAGTGCCTGTGGCATATACAAGTAGAGGCCATAAATAGGCAGCTGGGAGCATACCAGAGCTTATGAGGTTGGGTCATACACACCACGGGTACCTTGAGACTCTGATCATCTGGATAGTTGTGAGGGTACCTCAGCAAGTTCATGGAAAATACATAATATAAGAAAACTTCATGGACTGCAACATGTTTTGCACCAAAATAAACTTGCCTTTTAATTCCATTTTCCCACTCACTCTTTATAGTACTCTCATATGTCTTAAATGCATTATCTGTGAGAAATGTATTAGGTGGGAAATGGTAAGGTACCCTCACTGAGCTTAAGGTAAAATGAGGCTTCCTTCTGTATATGACAAAAATGAAAACTATACAAGTGAGCACCATAATTTTGGTTTGGCTTTTTTGATATAAAAATATAAAATATTGAATTACTTGTTTTTAAACCTGGATCAGAGATAACACCAAAATCACAAAGCACAGATAGGTTTACGTTGAATCTAATCTTCAAGGAAGAGGTAATTCCTCAAGCTGTTTAAACTCTTCAGGATATACATAAAAAGCAAGAGAAACTTCTGAGTTTATTCTCCAAAACTGACATAACATGAACCCAAAACCTGGTGATAGCAATTTCCAATCAGAAAATTATGAATCAATCCCTCTTACAGTGAAACAATTTCATAAGATACTCAGTAGAACATTAAATGAAATATGTACCTAGACAAATAAGGTTTATTTCACAAATGCAAAGATATTTCAGGGGTAGCATATTTGTTACTAATTAACCACATTAATGGAGAAACATACAGTCTTTTCAGTGTATGCCAAAAAATGTAGTAAACTCAACAACTATTACTAATAAAAATTTCAAAACAATCATAATCACAATTTTTCATATTATTTCTGTTACTATCAGAAATAAAACAAGGATGCCCACAAATGCCAATTTTATTTAACCTTGTTCATGAAGAACCAACCAATGAAATTAGGCCAGAGAAAATAAGAAGTTCGAAATGAAGAGGATATAAAAATGATTATTAACTGCAGATGATATGATTGTATCCGTGTATAAAGCTCTACAGAAGAACTACCAGAAAAAAAAAAAATTCAACCAGGTATCTGTTCATGAGACTAAAATATAAAATCAATAGCTTTCATATGTTGCTTGAAGTTATGAAGGTGACAACCAGAATGATTAAAAATAGAATGCTAAAAACTGCTTCTTGAAAGGGAACTGAAGGTGAGGAGCAGGCAGGGCAAGGAGCTGTTGCTTTTATCCTGTTGCACTGCGTAATATTTGGCTGTATCTGTGTCCCAGCTTAACAAACAAAACTTAACAAAGCTTGACAACATTGATCATTTTACAGAAAAGTAGAAAATCTGTCCTGAAAAGGTGTTTATAAAGAACAAGAGCTGGAATCAGGATCCCATTTTCAGTAGTAGAATAGGGGGTAGTATCTCTCAGAATAAACTTAAATGTGCAAGACCCATGTGAGAAGAACTTTAAAATTACTGAGGGATTTACTGAGTAAGTGTAAAGCTGGCTGTTTAATTGTCCATAGAGAGACTTCTATTATAAATATTAGGAGTATTCAAGAAATTTGTGGAAAGAAAAGCTAATATGTGTTTTCATGAACTTTCTGAGCCCTGTCTTATAAAAAAAAAAAAAAAGGTAAATCTCAAAATCTACCAAAGTTTATTTTGTACCTTGATACGGCTGTAATAAGCCCTCAAGAATAGGCACAAAAACTAAAAAACGAAAAGTATGGAGGAATGGGGTTCTGCCCTATCAGAGAATCAAACATACTATAAGACTACTCATTAAAGCATAGCACTCATTAAAACAGGAATAGGCAGAGGAGAGAATAAAAGAACCCAAGCATAGATGCTGACCCATATAGGAACATAGTATAAGGCAACTGAGATTTCAGATCAGTGAGGAAGAGCACTGATTATTTAAAAACAATGTAGAAACAACTTAGCCACATTGCAAGAGGACAGGGAGATGTATATATATGGTTGTATGTGTATGACTTACTTAAGTTGCTGCCTTATTCCTTATACCAAAATAAATTTCAGATGGATCAAAATTTGAACATAAAAATTAAAATTGTATAAGGATTAGAAAACTTGGAATAGCTTTCCTTTGAGGAAAAAAAAAAAGCATGTGGAAGGCCTTTTTAAGCATAACTTAAAACCTAGAAGCTTGATTAAAATACTCCTAAATTTGACTACATACAACCTACACAGGCAAAATATCTGTAAATAAAATTGAGGGTAAAAACAAAGAAGAAATCATTTTCAATACATGACTATAAAAGGGATGTTTTCAGTGCCATGTATAGAAAACTCTTCCACATCAATAAAAAGGACATCCTTTGGGCCAATGTTGTGGCACAGTGGGTTAAGCCACCACCTGCGATGCTGCCATCCCAAATAAGTGCCAGTTCTACCCTGGGCTGCCCTGCTTCGTACCCAGCTTCCTGCTCATGTGCCTGGGAAAGGAGTGGAGGATTGTCCTTGGGCCCTTGCCATTCACATGGGAGATCTAGAATGAGTTCCCTGGCTCTTGGCTTTCAGCCTGGCCTAGACTAGCAGATACAGCCATTGGGTGACCCAGCAGACAGATCTCTCTTGTCTCTCCCTTTCTTTCTGTAACTTTCCCTTTCAAATAAATAACTCTTAAAAAAAAAAAAAGAAGAAGAAGAAGAAACACAAATGATTGAAGAAAAAAAGAAAAGGAAAAAATAAGATTTTTTTCTTTATAGATTGGCAAAAATTACAAAATTTGATGGTACCTGCTATTGGGGAAGATGTGAAAAAAATTAGCACCCTCCAAGACAGTTGGTGGGAATATAAATTGGTTCAGAAACCAGTTTGTAAGTATTTATCAAAATTATACATTATTTTTAACTGAGTAGTTCCACTTCTTGAAATATTCTACAGAGAAATATCTACAGATCCACAAGTATTTATTATTTTACTATTAATATAAAACATAAATAACAATAAATTTATATATTATATATAATAATAAAATAATGAAGTATTATTATTTTACTATTGTTAGTAAAAGCAAGAAGCCAGAAACAACCAAACCCATAGTTAGAGGCTAGTAAGACAGATATGGTGCTGCAAAATGAGCAGCAATATGAGAGAAGTGAACCAGATGTAGAAGTGTAAGCTATCATTTTGTTTAAGAGGATGGCATGTGTGTTTGTGTTTGCATATTCATAAAACATTTATACTGAAGAAAAGCTTAACAGCACTACCTCTGAGAGCACAACAGATGTCTTCTGGAAAGGTGTGCTAAGGGAGAGAGAGAGAGAGAGAGTAGTTTTGTGCCATCTGAGTGAATAATGATTAAATATTTTTTCACAAATTTCTGATCAACAAATGTAAATTTTAATTTAGTAAATTTAACAAAATTTAACACAAATTGTGTACATAGACAGCCCTATGATCTTTTGAAAATCCATTCACCTCTGTCATGTTCATTAAAATAATACAAGGGTAGTTGACCTCAGAAGTTTTTATTAATGTCATAGGAAAGTGCTTTGAGAACCATAGACCAACAAAGAAATAGAAGAATTCCAAGAACAGAGATGAAAGGGGAAGGATGTAGGCAAGAACCCAGTGGGGTGTGGGGATCTAAGTCTGGTAAGAACTTTCTGACATCCTACCATTCATTGAAAGGACTTAGTCTTCTCAAACCCAGCTTGCACATTTCTTTAGTTTTCTTTCATTTTCTTTTTTTTTGCTTTTTAGCAATCAATTACAGTGATTGATACTTAAAAAGCCATAAAGATAAGAAACTTGTTTCTTATATGTTGATTTATAAGTTGTTCCATTAAGCAGATTGAATTATTTATATATTTACTTATGGTGGTCTCCGAATATCTTAGGCCTGTTAATGTGATGGTCAGAAAAATTTGAGAAACTTTGTACTACGTAAAAATATTTCTAAGCCCTTACAGTGTATTGTTGTTTCTGCCTCTTTTTAAATACTGTATCCGTTAAATGTCTGCACTTGTTGTCTAGTTTAAATTGCAAAGTTAACCAAATGGTATCTGTAAGCATTAAATGTGAGTGTTTATGAAGTACTTTTCATTATACCGGTGCTGGTGTTGGAACCCCATCTTGGTAAAGAGGCTAAATATTCATCTTTGTTTTTCAGACCAATGTAGTAGGACATTCTTTAGGATGTACTTGGCACTCCTTGAGGAATTCCCCTGGTGAAAAGATCAACTTACTGAAGAGAAGTCTCCTGAGTCTCCCAAATACAGATTATATCCAGCTGCTCAGTGACATTGCCAAAGAACAAGGTTTTAATATCACATATTTGGACATAGGTATGGAGGTTTTCTTTGACTTTTCCCAAGATATGTTCCCTTTGAACATACAATTGAGAAACAATTTTATGTTTGTCTAACTATCTATATGAGTATACTTCAAGTTTGTGGAAAAATGGGGTTAAAAGATAAATCTGTTTTGGAGAAACAATGAAGTCTGTCCATAATGGTATATGTACTTGATATGTCTCAGTGTTTTGGACAGTAATAATAGTTAACATCTATGCAGTTGTGGTAAAAACAACTACAGATCCACAGGGTTTGACTGTGTGCAGGCACTGTTCTCAGGAAACTACATGTATCTGCACACTCTGAAGTAAGTTGTTGTTATCCTTATCTATAATTGAAGAAAACAAGGCATATAAAGACTGCCCAAGGTAACAAAGCTAGTCAGCAGGAACCAGGACTGGGGAGGAGGCCCAGCAGATAACCTGATATTAAACCAGCCCTAATGGGCAGCTTAGCAAAAGAAAAGGCACTCACATTTCTAGCACAAGTTCCAAGTGTATAGGATGACTGCATACCCAGTTCTGGGAGGCAGGTAGAGGTCAGTCAGTTTGGAGCTTTGTCCCTCTCACTTTAGCCCTTAATTATTTAGATAAATACAGACAGATGAGAAAGCACATCATTGCGGATTTTCTTTTCATTCAGTTTATAAAGCTAATTAGTTGTGTGTGCGTGTGTATGTGTGTACTTGGTATCTTTATTTAACATCAGTATGATGTATGAAGAATTTGATTTCCTATTCCAACCTCAGTGAGATGTGGTGACCTAGCTTCTCAGGGCTACTAGTATTGGGAGAATAGGGTCTTTAGGATCTAAAAGAACTTATGGTATGCTCTGCTGCTTTGGCATTGAATGATGAATCAAGTGTAATATCTTAATCAGCAGAGAATGAAGCAGAACCTGGGTAGTGCAGATTAGTGGTCAGAACAGGTGGCTGATGAGAAACCATTCCTTCAATAAACATTTGTTAGTGTCTACAGTTTGTTCAGAGTTTGGGATTCAGATCCTTAATAGGGCTATGGAAGATAGAGAATTTAGGAAAAGAAGGTAACTTGAGATGAATATTTAGATTATATTTTAATGATACCTTTGAAACATTTTCTACCAATTTTAAGAACCAATAGTTCTTGTAAATATAGAACAACAGTCCAAAACCAGTCTGTTTATTTGGTTAGCTTCTATGCAGTTAGCTGTTCTTTATACCAGAAGTTCTTTTACCTAGGAGATAAGCATTTGGCACAGTGGTGGAGACACCACTGGTAACACCTACATCCTGTAATGGAGTGCCTGGGTTCAAGTCCTGGCTGTGCTCCCAGTTACAGCTTCCTCCTAATGTGCACCATGGGGTTCTACGATGGCTCAAATAGTTGGGTTCCTGCCCCTCCACATGGGAGACCCAGATTGGGTTCCTAACTCCTGGCTTTGGCCTGGCATAGCCTCAGCTATTACAGGCATTGCCTCTGTGAACCAGCAGATGGGAAATCCCTGTCTCCATCTCTGTCTGTCTGTTTGCCTGTCTGTCTCTCTGTGTCTATCTCTATCAAATAAAATGATTTTAATTGTTTAAAAAGAACCTAGATATTCTCTAATGAAAATATGCATACAGATGACCCATAAGCATGTGAAAAGATGTTCAACATCATTAGTCAATAGGGAAATACAAATCAAAACAACAAGGAGGGACCACCACTTCACACCCTCTAGGATGGCTAGAATCAAGAAAATGGAAAGTAGCAAGTGTTGGCAACAGATGTAAAGAAAGTGGAACCTCATATGTTACTGGTAAGAATGTAAAATGGTTCAGCTACCATGGAAAACGTTTTTTGGCTCCTCAAATGAATTGCCATATGACCTCACAACTCTACTCCTAGGCAAATACCCCAAGCACAGAAAACTGGTATTCAAACAAATACCTGTAGACATACGTTCATAGCAGGACTATTCAAGAGCCAAAGGGAAACAGCCCAAATGTCCAACAAATGAGTAAGTAACAAACTGTGGAGTATACTTATGATGGAGTAGTATTCAGCCCTAAAAAGGAATGAAGTTCTGATATGTGCTACAGCATGTTGACCCTCCACCCCCCCCACCCCGAAAAACAAATTATGCCAAGTGACGAAAGCCAGACACAAAAGATTATGTAATGGATTAATCCTTAGAGACAGAAAACAGATGGGTAGTTGCCAGGGACTGGAGGAATGGGAAATAGGAAGTAACTGCTTAGTGATGTCAAGGTTTTTTCTTGGGGAGATGAAAATATTTTGGGAATGGATAGAAGTGGTGATTGACTAATGCTGTGATTATACAAAATGTCCTTGAATTGGTTGATTGCTTATTAGGGGACCTGGGGCTCGTTTGAGGCTAAAGCTCAGAGCCAGAAATGGTCTGCATTCCCCTTGTGGGTGGCAGGCACCCAACTACTTGCGCCATCACCTGTTGCTTCCCACGGTGCACATTAGCAGGAAGCTGGAGTCAGGAGCCAGAGGTGGGCATCTCTACTGGTGTCCCAGTCAACAGACTGAACACATATCCCTGAATTGTTCATTTTCAGGTGGTTACTTTTATGTAGATGCTAAACTAGGAGGACTCTTCACTCATCAAACAATCCCATTGTATATGGATAATTGTACTACATCAACTAGCTAAAATAATATTTACTCAATATAACATTAAATCGTATCCCACCTGTTCCTTCCTCTTCGCCTTTACCCATTTCAGCCTTCTTCAGTTAGAGTGACTCATCACTCATCAGATGATGATAATAAGATCATTTGTTTCATGGGTTCATGTTGTGTTGTTTTTTGTGTGTTTTTTGTTTGTTTGTTTTGTTTTGTTTTTTGACAGGCAGAGTGGACAGTGAGAGACAGAGACAGAGAGAAAGGTCTTCCTTTGCCGTTGGTTCACCCTCCAATGGCCGCCGTGGCCAGCGCACTGCGCTGATCTGAAGCCAAGAGCCAGGTGCTTCTCCTGGTCTCCCATGGGGTGCAGGGCCCAAGCACTTGGGCCATCCTCCACTGCACTCCCGGGCCACAGCAGAGAGCTGGCCTGGAAGAGGGGCAACCGGGACAGAATCTGGTGCCCCGATTGGGACTAGAACCTGGTGTGCCGGCACCGCAAGGCGGAGGATTAGCCTAGTGAGCCGCGGCGCCGGCTCGGTTCATGTTGTTTTTAAACCAGCATAATTTATTTACAATGTACACTGAAAAGTAGACCGTGCGCAGATGTGAAGGCACAAGGGAGGTCTTGCCCTGAACCAGGTGCATACTGAAAATGACTTCCTAGTGGAAAATACTTTCACTGTTCTCTAGAGAAAGGTTCTTTCCCTTTTAAGAAAGTGGCTGTGGTTCAGTATTTTGCAAACATTGGCTGACTACATTAGAACTGCCTGATAGCTTTTTTCAATGTAGGAATCAGCCACCTGCCACTCCAACCCTGTATTTCCAAGTCGTCTACAGTGAAAATGGAATGCTTGTGTTTCTTTAAAGCTCCTCCAGGTGATTCTGAGCACAGTGTGCTTGAGAATCCTGCTTCAGCTGAGCAGGTGTTTTGCTTGTATGTGCGTGATAAAGATGACGAGCAGGTAGTGTACATGGATGCTTAAAGAATAATACTGTGTTGTTTTCACAAGAGGTCTGTTTATACATACTTGGTGTTAATCATCATGTTTGAATGTATCATTACAGAAGAACTGAGTGCCAATGGACACTACCAATGTCTGGCTGAACTGTCTACCAGTCCCATCACAGTCTGCCATGGCTCGGGCATCTCCTGTGGCAATGCACAAAGTGATGCAGCTCACAACGCTTTGCAGTATCTAAAGATAATAGCAGAAAGAAAGTAAACCTGGGGCAACTCGGGAAATCCTTCAGCACTACACAGAAAGTTCCTCCCTCAGCCCTCCCCGAGTGAAACATTTATTGTAATGTTTGAGTTTTTGTGCTGTTTCTAAATCTCTTCATAGGTCCCATCAACACTCCAGATTTAATTATCTCCTGGTAGTCATCATTCAGGTCTTTTTAATGGCTTCAACTTTGTATTGGTATATTGTATTTATAAACTTTGTACCATAAGGCAGAGTGTAGCACCCATTTTACAGTGCCATGCACATAGGAGGAAGAAACTGCATGTTTGACGATGATGATGATGAGAATGATGTTGATGATGATGAAATAAAACAGTGCTAGCGACCGGCTTTCTTACTGGTGCTTCAGCTCTTCTTTGCCTAGGGCTTCAGAAACGGGATTGTAAGGAATCCCTTTAGAATAAGAGTGTCAAGGGACTGCACAACAGTCTTTATTGGATGTGATTGTTGAAAATCAGGGAACTGATTAGTCTGCTGTGTATTTGGACCTATGTAATAAAGAGCTGTTGTTACAATGGGGGTTCGTTCGTTTTGTGAGTGGGACTTAGTAGCCCTTATTCATTCTAGCTCTTCTTGTAACATTTGAATGTGAATATTCTGTTACTTGCAAATTTCTAGTTTACTTCTGAAAGTCAAAGTTACAAATATATACTTGATAAATCATGTCCTTATTTTCTCTAAGCATATGCATTGTTAGATTTCTTTGCCTTAACCATTAGCAGATGCGTTCACAGTTGAAAAAGCATTTGTAGAATTAGAAAGAAACATTTCCAGTTCACTCAGTTGAGTTACAAGAATGTTCCAGGCAAAGCAATGAGTGCTTAAAAGATTAGCAAGTCCCACACACCAATTTTAATCTCACTGCCTAGGTTTCCACAGACCATCCTGTAGCACCTTATGTCTTCCCATCTGTCAGTGCCAGCTTTGTAAATCAGATGGAAGCCTCTTTGTGTTCAGAGCTCAGGGAAAGCCACAAACAGGAAGCAAGCTGAGTGATGAAGGTAGGTTTTGATCATCTTGAGTTATTAATCCAGAAGGAAGTATGTAACAGGTATTTTTCCATCTAGGAAAAACCCTTTGAGAATCATAAAACTACATAATATACCTGTACATAAAAAGTGGATTTAAAATTCTAAAGAGCACTTTACATCATTGTGGAAAATTTTTTTTTTTCTTAAATATTGTAAAGAAGTTTAGGGCCTTTTTTTGTTTGTTTTGGTGAGGTTAAAGAATAGACTGGAAACAAAGTTTAAGCATAAACGGTCTTGTGGGTCATTCACTAAAAGACTAACGTTTGGTTTTTGTGACGGCTCGGGAAGGGCACCATGAACTCACTCTCCAGATGACATGAGACTTCTGCATGGTGGTGTGTCTTCTTTGAAGAGGATGAATGGGGAGAGGATTTAAAGCCATGGAAGGGGAGGATGAGGCCTAATATGGGAAAGGCTAATTAATTTGGATATAAATAGTCAGATGTATTGCTAAAACAATGAGATCTAAGGATATGGGCCAAAACCCAAGCTTTTCATGTTGCTTCTGCTTTCCCTACTTCTGGCTTTGGAGAAAATGCACTTCAAAACTGTTCAAACATCAGCTCTGTGTAGATTTTCTAGGACCATCAGGTCACACTGTTCAAACTTCTGTTAAGGCCCTTAATCAATTTGATCATTCCTGTCAAACCCATTACTTTCCTAAAAGGGCAAGCAGCCAGCTCTGCCTTGTGGCTAATAGGTGAGTTGCATCCACTAAGTGACAAATGAATTAGATGAAGATAGAAATAGCCCAATATAATGATGAGACAAGATAAATTTTGGAGCACTGATGGTGCGAATACCGTAACATCCTGTGGGGTGACAGTGTTGACCCAGACTGTTGCCCCTCTGACTCCCCTCCAGTCCTAGAGGACTCAGCTACCTCTTTTCTGGGAGTGCTGCTGGCAGAGAGCCCTCAGCTGTCAGGTCTTTCCAGAATTTCCATGATTGAAGATAGCCACCTCTCCTGAGGGCACGCATCATAGGCAGTTTGGGTTAAAAGACAAGTCCCAACCCTCCATATAAGGACAGTGTGAAAGGCCGTCCTGTCTTCAAGAGTTCCCCTAGGCATTAACAAAGGCTGCCTTTGGGATTGAAGGACAGCACCGCCCCTGTCCAGTCGTGTCCTTGCCTTGCCCTGATGGCTGTCCCCAGTGTCTCACTTGCTACTCTGCATCTCAGTCTGCTTCCCAGGGAACTCAACCTGCGATACTCAGTACCAGAAATGGGGCAAGAAGGCAGATGCTGCCTTGGGGTTTTGGAGCTGTTTCTCCTACCATCTGGTTTACAGGATGAAACCCCTCACTGGGGGTAGTTAGAACACAGGTAATCCATGGGGCTGGTGCTGTGACATAGAAGGTTGAGCCTCTACCTGTGGCTCTGGCATCCCATATGTGCACTGATTCGAGTCCTGGCCACTCCATTTCTGAGACAGCTCCCCACCTGGTAAAGCAGTGGAAGATGGCCCAAGTGCTTGGGCCCTTGCACCCATATGGGAGATCCAGTAGAAGCTCCTGGCTCTTGACAGCCCAGTGCTGGCCATTACGGCCATCTGGGAAGTGAAACAGCAGATGGAAGACCTCTCTCTGTTTCTCTGTCTCTTTAACTGTAACTCTGCCTCTCAAATAAATATTCCAAAAAACCCACAGGTAACCCTTAGCACACTGACTTAAAAATTTTGACGTGTAGTGATGTGGATGGTATGCCAGTGAAAGCAAACACACTGACAGGCACAGTATGTCAGGCAGTGGAGAATAATGGAGGGAAATGTGAGGACTGTGGGATTGATGGGCTATTGATGAACTGGACTGATGCCTAGAAGAAGAATGAGAGTGAGTAATCAGAATTAAAAGCTAAAAGTGAAAGCCACTCTGCAATAACACTGGGCTTTTGCACTAGCATGCAGCAGGCTTCCTTCTAAAGATACTGCACAGAGAACTGAGGACCAGGCCAGGACTTTACTCAGGTAGGAACAGAGTTAAAATCCAAGCAAGGTGGGCTGCTGTGTTGGGATAAATGTTCTGGCTGGGAAGAATGGAACCCTGACATGAAATGTGACCCACCTGGGTTACTGCTACTAAACATCTTGAATCCTCAGGTTTCCTGAATCTTCCAAGGCTACAAAAGTACCTTGCTCTCCTCTTCCTGAAAATAAGAGATCTCTCCCCAAGGGCATTTGTATTCCTTAGGATCCACACCTACGTCCTCTGACAACTAAGCCAATAAAAAGGGTAAATCTCAATTCAGTCAGAGACATGTAGATCTGTTAAGGGAGGAAAAATAGATTCCCTAAAGAGCTGAGTGCCCGGCTGACCCATAGCAGCAGAGACTGGGAGAATCCACAGGAGAATAAACACTGACAGTGAGGGGTAGAGGGAGGCAGCCAAATACGGAATTGGATAAGGAAGAGTTTATCAGTTTGGGAGCACACTCCCAGGATACCAGCTTTAACATCCCCGTAAGGCTCAGGGTGGCTCCTAGAAGGAAAACTGGAAAATGCACTAGATGGCTGCATTCTTTGAGACAGCCTAGGAAATACTCCATTTACAAGAGCAATAAGTAATGTGAGGTTTGGAAAAAGCTTACTTTACATATATCTAGGGGGAAAGTGGCAAATGAAGCCAATTTTGAGTATATGAGCTAAAATCATGGAATATCTTGACCTTAAAGATGTCTAAGAAATCATTTGTACAATCCAGTTAAGAAATGGGCAAAGGACTTCAACAGGCATTTTTCAAAAGAGGAAATTCAGATGGCCAACAGACACTTGAAAAAATGCTCAGGATCATCAGCCATCAGGGAAATGCAAATCAAAACCACAATGAGGTTTCACCTCACCCCAGTTAGAATGGCTCTCATACAGAAATCAACAAACAACAAATGCTGGCGAGGATGCAGGGGGGAAAGGTACTGTAATCCACTGTTGGTGGGAATATAAACTGGTGCAGCCACTGTGGAAGATCATATGGAGATACCTCAGAAATCTGAATATAGACCTATCATATGATCCAGCCATCCCACTCCTGGGAATTTACCAAAACCAAAAGAAATCAGCATATGAAAGAGTTATCTGTACCCCCATGTTCACTGCAGCTCAATTCACAATAGCTAAGATATGGAATCCACCCAGATGTCCATCAATTGTTGACTAGATAAAGAAATTATGGTATATATACACTATGGCATACTACTCAGCTGTTAAAAAAAATGAAATCTTGTCTTTTACAAAATGGATGAAACTGGAAGCGATTGTACTTTCTGAAATAAGCCAATCCCAAAAGGACAGACATCATGTGTTTTCCCTGATCCTAGGTAACTAATAGAGTACCTGAAATGTAATATATTGGCTTGAAATAGACATTTTGAGATTTGATGATTGTTTACAGCCCTTGTCTCTTCTGTTGAGGCACAGTGCTTTTCATACTATTTGTTGAACTCTTTTATTTCATGTAGGATTCACTTTATGATCATTAAGTAAACCGAAAATAGATTTTTGTAAAATTTAAGAATGGGAATGGGAGAGGGAGGAGGAAGAAGGGTTGGAGCCTGGGCTGGAGGGAGGGAAGGATGGGAAGTATCATTATGTTCCTAAATCTGTATATATGAAACTTGCATAGCTTAAATAACATTTTAAAAGAATTATAAAAAAGGAAATAGTTTGCATAAGATGAACAATTAGAGCTCATTTAGGTGGTGATTAAAAACTAAGAATCATGGGGCTGGTGCTGTGGCATAGCTGGTGAGGCCACCATCTGCAGTGTTGGCATCCCATATGAGCACTGGTTCGAGTCCCGGATGCTCCACTTCCAGTCCAGCTCTCTGCTGTGGCCTTGGAAAGCAGTGGAGGATGGCCCAAGACCTTGGGTCCCTGCACCCACATGAAAGACTGAGAGAAAGCTCCTGGCTCCTGGCTTTGGATTGGCACAGCTCCAGCCATTGCAGTCATCTGGGGAGTGAGCCAGTGGATGGAAGACACCTCCCTCTCTCTGCACCTCTGCCTCTCTGTGACTCTTCCTTTCAAACAAATAAAGCTTTTTTTTTTTTTAATTAATAATCAAGGGTAATTGTTGTGGTACAACAGTCAGGCTACCACTTTGGAATACCTCATTTTGAATCTTGGCTACAACACTCTGATCGAGTTTCCTGTTGATGTGCAGTGTTGGAGACAGCAGGTGATAGTTCAAATATTTGGGTTCCTGCCACTTATATGGGAGACTTGCATAAAGTTTCTGACTTCTGGCTTCAGCCTGGCTCAGACCCAAATAATCAGGAGGATTTGGGAGAGTCAACTAGTAGATGGGATCTCTCTCTCTCTCACTCTGAATTTCAAATAAAAAATTTTTAAAAAGAGATTTATGTATTTATTTGAAAGAGAAAGAGAGAGCACTTCCATTTGCTGGTTCACTCCCCAAATGGCCACAATGGCAGGCCAGCCAAAGCCAGAGCCAGGAGCTTTTTTGTGGGTCGCTCATACAGGTGCAGGGGC